GGGAATGAATGAAAAAATTATGGTGTATGAATGCAATGGAATACCACTATCCCATAAGAAATGAAGGAAGGGATGGTTTCAGTGAAACTTGGTAAGACTTATGTGAAATGATACAGAGTGAAATGAGTGGAACCAGGAGAACAATTTACACAATTACAAGAACACTGTAAAAACAATTTTGAAAGCCTTAAGAATTCTGTTAAGGCAAGAACCACTCATGATCCCACAGGCCCCACACTGCCAAGCATGTGGCCCATCTCTTGACTTAGAAGTGACAGACTCTGAAGAAGCGCAGAAGGAGAAGTGTTTTGGACATAATCAATGCAGGGTTTTGCTTTGTCTTTGAATATCTGTAAAGAGTTTTGTTTGTTTTTCTTTTTCAATGGTGAGGGGGAGTAAGAGGAAGAAAATTTTGATTTGTTAAAAAAAAAAACAAAACACACTTGACAAATCCTATCTTATCAAATCATCCACTTACATAGCTCAGAACTGAAATTCCCCTGACCACAACCTTCTGTCCACATTTCTCCCTGGGCTTCATCTCCCGTAAACCTAATATTTATCCTCACACAACCCCCAGCCATTCCATTCCACCCATCCTTGCTCTGACCTCACATTCTTCCCTTCAATATCTTTGTTTCTCATAGACTTATGTACACATCTCTCTGATGAAATGTAAGCTCTTTCAGAATAGGCCTTGTCAGCTAGGTGGCACAGTGGATAGAGCACTGGCCCTGGAGTCAGGAGGACCTGAGTTCAAATGTGGCCTCAGACACTTGACACTTACTAGTTGAGTGACCCTGGGAAAGTCACTTCACCCCATTGCCTCATAAAAAAAAAAGCAAAAGAGAATAGGTCTGGTTTCATTTTTTGGTCTTCCTATACTTCTCACCTAACATAGTGCCTGACACAAAATAACCATTTAATAAGGACTTGTCAATGAAGCTCCATTCTGAAATCACCACCTTCTTAAAGTATGTTTCCAAATTGATGTCCCATAGGCATCTAAGCCCAAGCAGAAGACAAGTCTAATTCATTTTTGCATATTCTTATCACCTAGAACTATATTTCCCAAGTGTTAGGCAACTAAAAAATTGTGAAAGTGAATTATAATTGTCTTCCTTGGGTTTTAACTTGTTCTAAAGCCATAGCCCAGCCTCCTAGAGCCCTTTTCTTCACTACAAAGGCAGAAGAAATGTTGGCTCTTTTCTTCTTTATCCTCGCAGCAAACCCACAGGCTAGTCTGACTCGCTGGAGACTTGAGCATACAAATCTGCTCTGGTACCATCCTCTTTAGAAACATTTTAAGTATTTCTTGACCTGGGTTCCTCACAAAAGGTGGGATGTTTTAGGGAGACTCAGCCAGCACAGTTATCCTAGATCCTATCAGATCACTATAAAGCAGGGTTATTTTATTTAACCTTTTATGTGCCATAGGCACTTCTGGCAGTCTGGTAAAGCCTATGAACCCCAAGCCTACGGACCCTTTCTCAGAATAATGTTTTTAAATGCATAAAATACATAGGATTACAAAGGAAACACATTATATTGAAATATAATCATCAAAATATTTTTAAAAAACAAATTATCAGGCCCTAAGTTAAGAACCCCTGCTATAAAGGATTAAGCTAGTTTGGGCCTCTGTTCTCCCATGTTCTGGGAGTACTGGAAATAGTTGTCCCTTATACATTGAGACTTCCCCTTTTTGTGGTTTTGATATATTGCGGGTCGGCATAAGAAATTAAATAGGAATTTGGGGGGAGTTTTGTAGAAGCCATAGATGACACAGAAAAAGTTCAAAAACTCAGAAATGCATAAAATACATGTATAGTATTGTTTAATATCAACATATTTTATCTTTTAATACCATAATAATTCAAACTTCTCTGATATAAAAGGTGGGCCAAAAAATTTTACACAGATTTTCCTGATTGTGGAAACCCCTGAGATAAGGAAGGGATAACTGCAGTTTTTTTCCTTGAGAGAGAAAAAAAAAGTCTATCCTCTTGCTGTTCTCCTTAAGTTGCCCCTAGAGAACCCTTTCAGCCGAGGACTTTGCCTCATACTTTACTGAAAAAAATGATTTACTTGCCAAGACTTCTCCCTCCTTCTCTCCTTACCTCATAGCATTCAGACATTTTCCTCTACTACCTCCTCCTTCACTCCAATACTGGGTGAAGAAATGGTCCTTCTCTTTCCTAAGGCCAACCCTTCCATGTGAGTCCAATCCCATCCCTTCTAGTTTTCCTCAACAGATCACTGCCCCTACTTTCATCCTCACTCTCTACTCTTCAACTTCTATTTACTTTCTCCCTAGGACCTGCAAACACACTCATGCATTCCCCACCCTTACTTAATCTATGCTTGATTCTACCATCTCCAATAGCTATTGTCCTGTATCACTCTTCCCTTTAGTGGCAGTTTAGCCACTTTGAGAAAGCTATCCACACTAACAACCAGGGCTTCCAACCTCATCGTTCAACAAAATTGCCCTGTCCAAAATTATCAATGATCTCTAAACTGCTTGATCTAATGGCCTTTTCTTAATCCTTATTTCACACAGTTGATCACCTTATCCTCCTGGATACTCTCTCTCCCGAGGTTTTTGTGACACTGTTCTCCCCAGTTCTCCTTCTATCTGTCCTGTTGCTCCTTCTCAGTCTCCTTTGCTGCATCTTCACCTATGTTATGTCCAAGACTCTCTCCTGGTCCCTCTTCTCTTTTTACTCTATAACAGGTAAAGATTCTAAGACTGGGGTCCTTAACCTGGGTCCATGGATAGATTTGGGGGGAGGGAGAGGACTGTCAACTGGAATGGAAAAAAAATTACATCTTTATTTTCACTAACCTCTAACTATAATTGTACATTTTCTTTAATTGTGAATTTTTAAAAAAATCAACATTATTATAAAAAAGGGTCCATAGGCTTCAGATACCAGGGGAGTCCAACCCTTAGAAAAGTTAAAAAACCCACTGCTCTCTATCTCACTTAGTGATCTCATCAGCTCCTATGAATTCAGTTGTTTCTATGCAGATGATTCCCAGATCAATATATCCAACCTTCCCCTCCCACTTTTGCCCCAGTCCTGCATCACCAATTGCTTTTTTGATAACTCAAAATAAGCACCGTAAGCTCAATAAGTCTAAAATAGAACTCATTATCTTTCCCCCTAAATCCTTCCCTGTCCTAAATCTGTTACTGTAGGACACCACCACTGTCCCTGTAACCACAGCCCCAAAACCTCGGTGGTATCCTTAGATTCCTCACTTTCACTCACCCCACCTATCCAATGTTATAATTTCTACCTTCATAACATCTCTCATACATTTCCTCTCTGACCACACAGCCACTAACCAAGCTAAGGCCCTCGTCAACTCTCAGCTGGACTTTCTAAGTGGTCTTCCTACCTCAAATCTCTTCCTATTCAAATTAATTCTCTAGTTAGCTGCCAAACTGATTTCCCTAAAATACAGATCTTATCACATCACCTCTGTGATCCATGAAGGAGGAAGGAGAGAAAGAAACATTTATTAAGTACCTATTATGTGCCAGGCATCATGCTAAGTATTTTGAAAATATTATCTCATTTGATACTACAGAGCTCCAGTAACTATTACTTCCAGGATCAAATTCCTGTTTGACATTTAAAGCTCTTAACAACCTGGCATTCATTCACCTTCCCAGTCTTCTTATATTTCTATCCTCTATTCATTCTACATACAATATAGCAATCCTAGCCTTCTTGCTGTTCCTCATACTTGACACTCTAACTGCCTGCTGACTCCACACTTTTTCAATGGTTGTCCCATATGCCTAATATACACTCCTTCCTCATCTCTTCTTCACTGCTTTCAAGATAAATCTCATGTATCCAGTTATATGTCTCAATCTATGTACCCAGTTATCTACATATTGTCTTCCACATCTGAATGTGAACTCCTTCGGGGCAGGGATTGTTTTTGCCTTTCTCTCTATCCCAGATATGAGCCACAGTGCCTGGCATACAGTAAGCACTTAATAAATGCTTGTTTACTGATTGACAAAAGAATGTTTCTCCTCACAAGCTCCCTTTTGCTAATACTCAGAATACCCTTATCCAACAAAAAAATCAAATGAATCACAGCAAGAGAATCCAAAGAGTTCTATGGGGAGAAAAGTTTCTGGTATTATGAATGATTTCAGCAGGAAAAGATAAAGTGTGATGAAACAGTTATGCTTTCAAGAGAATATTCCACAAGGTGGAGGTTTAAAAGCATTTCTCAGAAGTAGTACTAGCAGGGTTTATTCTTTGCATCTGGCACAGAGGAGTGATAAAATCCCTTTGGTTTGCATATTCTCTTTCAGTGTTTGGCCAGACATCCTATATGAAGGTTGAGTTATGAACAAAACCAAGATCATTTTGTAACAAGCAGATATTTCTAAAGATTGTTTTTGGAACTTCTAAACCAGCCAGCTAACAAGTTAATTAATAAGCTGATAAAGTAGTGATAAAGGATACTTGGTCTACTCCATAGTTTAAGCTATTTTCTGTAGGCTTCTCTTTGATGTCTAATAATTTTGATAGGTGACACTTAGCCAACGCCAAGCCGCTAAACACACAGGATATACAACCTAGCGCTATCGTCTTTAGAAGGGATCCTGGAAATATGCTCCCTGGCAGATAACTACTGGATAACTTTTGCCCTACTCCACTGCCACAAACCCCAAGGAGAGCATATTTTGGGATGGTTTGCTGGACTAAGACTGGAACTCCCTAAGCTCTGTGCTATTCAACTCTGATACAAAAGCCAAGGCTAGAAGTCCAAATTGTTTCAAGGCTTATTCTTGGCCCCTAGGTTAAACTAGTGTTCTTACCAAACAAATTAAACCAATTTTGTCCCAAAGTATTTATAAGTCCTCCTACTGCGTATGTTAGTGGGGCAAAACACCGCTCAGACGCTGAGCCACAATGTTAGCTTTGTTTATATCCAGCCACCCCACCACAGCAAACACCAAATACCTTTAGGTCATCAGCCTCAGGTTTTTCAGTCTCTGAATCGTCATCTTCCTACAAGACAAGAATTTACAGGATTAAGCTTAAAAGAGCGGGCCTGGTGGTTCCCACATGCATAAGTAGGGGCTGGAGGTGAGCAGCCCAGTTACCCAGCCTGAGTCTCCCCACCAATAACAGCCCCTCCCCTACTACATGACCCAAAGCTAAATAAAGAAGAGAAGACAAAGAGATACTCAAAAATAAGAACATCAGCATCTGAAGGCCCACAGAGGTAGCTCAGAGATGTAAGTCCATGTTACCATAGAAACACCCAAGAGATGCAAAACTACATACATAAAATGAAGAAAAGCTGAAAGATGCTTTGGAAAGGCACAAGACCTGGCCCACTAAGTAAAACTAGCTTTGAATTATCTAGGAAACTTAAATTACTTCTAAAAGTTCAAGAAGCTACTTATAATTTTGTGTCCTAGTTCTTACAAAAATACATTCAACTTGGGCCTACCATAACATCTTTCATTGCAAAATTGTTGTGGGATCCACATACAGTTAAATTCCAACACCTCAATCAACTAAAAGAACGGCAACACAAGACGTAGGAAGTCTGAGGCATAGAATGGCTATGTTACATCAACAATCAACGGCAGAATCAAAAGTTCACACCCCAACCTCTTGCCTTTCTACATAGGTCCATCACTGATCCAACCTATTTAGCTTTGTTCCTCAAGAGAGGAACCATACAGAAACAGCCATGTAGGCAGGACACTGTCCCAAGCATGTACCAATAACACAAATACAAAGTGACCAGTTGCCAGACATACATCCAAGGGCTCAGCTAGTGATATGGTTTTCATAGATCAGTGGTAACAACACACAATACACCTCTTGAGTCAGCACAGCTGCTCTTCAATTCCCACCAACAAGAGGATGCTTCCAGCACACACAGCAAAGAATACCAGCTAAATGCCTGGATGAAATCCACAAGACCTAAACTTGCTTTCTTCAATCAGAGCCACACTTTGCAAAAAATCTCAGACAAAGACAACAATCCAGATGTTAAGACAAATACTACACAAGAGGACTTTAATGAACTAAACTCTCATTAATATTTGCCAACTGTTCTTTAAGATGACTATAAACAAAGGGATTTTGCTGTAATACAAATACTTAAAAATAGATGGCACAGCACCAAGCTCCAGGAACTTTTTTTTTTATTAAATAATAATAATAATAACAATAATAATAATAATAATAATAATAATAATGATAATGATGTTTATTGGAAATAAATATCCAAATACAATTATATCCGGTAATGTCCATGTTCAGACCAGAAAACTGATCGGCTTTTACCAGCAAAAACAAACAAAAAAAACTTAGTAGAAACAAAATGAAAACTATAAACAAATGAACATGGTACAATGATTAAAAAATAGCTGTTAGTTAAGCAAATACCTACTTGAGGAGAGCAGAAAACATGCAGCAGTTTACAACTACAGACAACTCTTGATTATCAGGACAAGTGGGAAGAAGCAAGGAATTTGAAGGGGAGAGCCAAATGCAGCAGATAATGCAAATTTCCTTTTTTTATCTGGCTTAGAAGTAATTTTTATACTAGCATCTTATTGACATATCTAACATTCTAGCAATTCGTATCTGTTGTTGTTCAGTCCTTTAATCATGTCCCACTCTTTGTTAAGTCCATGGGGTATTCTTGACAAAGATACTGGAGTGGTTTGCCATTTCCTTATCCAGTGCGCTCCCATTTTATAGACCAGGAACTGAGGCAAATAAGGGTCACAAATTTAATAAGTATCTGAGGCCGGACTTGACTCAGATCTTCCTGACTACAGAGCCAATGCTCTATCCATTATATCTCCTAGCTGGCCCAATTCATATTACTCTTCAAAATACAGTATTGTGAATACCCAATTCAGAAGCCAGTAAAGATGAACAGTCTTCCATCCTGTTTAAGACTCAACTGCTCTCCTCTTTATTTAGCTGTGGGGCACACAGTAGTGGAGAGGACTGTTATTGGTGGAGAGCCTCAGGCTAGGTGACTAGGTAGCTTTCCATTCAATGGCCAGAGGTTTAAGTGTTTGCTCATTCATCCTGTCAGTCTGGCTCATATTACTCTAGAATCGTTTTGTTATAGCTGAGTTGGAGAAGGAAGGTCAAACTTCTTTAATTTCCAGTTCTGATTGTGCTTCAGGTTCAAGTAAGGGTAAGGGTCAAAGAGGTGACGTCAACAAAGTTACTAAGCAAACTGTCAATAGCACAGTTAAACAGATAAGGTAGTAAATTCAAGTATTTGGAAATAAACTATTTCCCTTCCTACGCTTTTAAATTAGAAATCAGAGATTTGATTTGAATGCCAGGCACAGTGGAAAGAGCAGTGGACTTGGGGTGTCAGAGAGACCTAGGGTAAAATCCCAATTCCAAAACTTAATAGCTGTGTGATCTGAAGAAGTCACAACCTCCTCCAGCCTTAGTCTCCTCATCTGTAAAGTTGGGGGAACAAAAGCAGCTGTACTACAGATATGTGATAAGGATCAAATGAAATAATCTCTGCAAACTTGAAAATTATAAGTCCCTAGGAATAAAAAGATAATTAAGAGTTGACTTCAGAGACAGAGTTTCATGACAGAAACTGAAGCACTATTGGAAATGGAATGAATTGTATAAAAAGGGAAGACTAACCCAACACTAAGTGCCTCTAGATAGCTGGGTCGAATACAGTGGTCTTGTCTATTCCATTGGGATCTCCCCTTATCTTGCCTAACAAGTTTGACTAAAAGATAAGCCCCAATGGGATGGGGGTGGGGGTGGAACACAACCAACTCCACCACTGAAATTTAACCCAGTATCTTCATCTAATGGGGGGTGGGGGGTGGGAAGAACAAGCTTTAAGGAGCAGCTTGGCCACGAGAAAAACGGAAGTGCTATGGGTCCATCTTAGAAAAGGGGTTTCCGGTGAACAGAAGGTGATGGCTTTGGACAGCTCTGGATTACAGAACAGTGTACCTACCGATTGTCTGCTGTTTTCTTCATCCTCTTCCTCATAACCATCTTCATCTCCCTCAAGTCGAGAAAAATCATCATCTCCATAGGCTTCAGACACTAAGCCACCTTTTTCCTCTAACCCAGAGGAAGAAAGAAAAATGAGTGGGGATGGGGAGAGTATAAATACTACTACTAGTGATCTGAGTGGCTGGAACCATCTCTGCAAGTAAAGGGGAACCTGGTGCCAAAGTCTCATTCCTAGTCACACCATCCTAGTAGAAGTAGCTAAAAGCTCAGAATCGATCCTAAAGTTTATAATTTAGCTGAAGGAACAAGACTAATAGGCAGACTAAGCCAAAAACAACCTTCTTAACTGGGTCCTGAATGACTCTGGGGAGTTCTCTACTCACAAATGGGGTAAGTTTTAATGAATCATCAGAGGCCCATGTCACTTCTTTAAGATTCTCACTTTAATATAAAGAGATGGAGATGAGAATGAAATCATAGTGCCCATCATGCTTCCTCCTTAACCCCGAACGCCTGGCAAAACTAGAAGCATCCAACGTTAGAGCCCAGCCCCTTACGTGCCAGATGGGGAAACTGAGGCCCTGGGAGAATAAACCCGCTGCCTGGGCGCCTCACCCCCAGTCTCGCAGGGCTTGGGGTGGGGGTTCGGCCTTGTTTCTCAGGGGCCGGGGTCTGCGGGCGCAGGAGGCAAGACTCCGCCTCCTTCCCCAGCAGCCCCCTACTCTTTCTTTCCCTTCCTTTTCTACCTGGGTGGCGGGCTCGGGTCCGAGCTCCGCGCCCGCCCCAAGCCTTACCCGCTGCGGTCGCGCTCCCAGCCGTTTCCACTCCAGCCTCGCTGTCCGACTCGGGCTCCGAATCCTCTGCGTAAACCGCCAGCGACGACAGAACGTTCTTCTTGCCAGCCATCTTCCTCCTTCCCGGCGCCGGCGCTCCCGAATGACGCTACGCCGCCGCTTTCGCTATTTCGAGGCCGCGCGCTCTTCCTACCGGAAGCCCAACGACACCCTCACTTCCTCCCTCCCTGACCTTTTGTCTCGGAGAACAAGCCAATCAAAAAAGCGAACTCCTTCCTGTTCCCGCCCCCGCCTTACCCCGTCCACCGTCCCCTCTACCTACCCCCCCCACACGCAGCAGCCCCGTGACGCCATCATCGTGCGACGTGGGAATTGTGCGTGGGTCTGAGTCAAGGAGCGGTGCAAACCAGAAGATTGGCTCGTTCGGGACTTCTGGGGTCTCTAGGCCGCGGGACTCCCGGGGCTTAGATAAGAGCTCCCAGGTTGGGGGCTCGCAGTCTGCAGCGGGGCCCTGCCCGCACCCATATCCTGGGCTGGGGGCACAAAGAGTAGTGTGCTAGGGAGGAGATGCATTTAGAAAGGAGGGGAGCAGAGAAAAAATGTGGGCGTGTGTGTGTCTGCTGGGAAAAAAAGAGAGGGTGTGTGCGTGTGTGTGTGTGTGCGCGCGCGTGTGGTAGGGAGAAAATGTCTTTCCAAAGCAGAGGAGTTGAGGCCTGGGCACAGGAAAAGTATATGTATATGTCTGTGCCTGTGCCTTGATGTGCGTGTTTATGTAAGGGGGAGGACAAGGTTCGGAGGAGAAAAGTGAGATGAAGGAGAAGTTGGAGGAGAGTGGTCAGGGTGCTGGGGGAAAGAGGAATGGGGTCAAGGGTGGAGGGGATGGTGCGGAGTAAAGGGGCCAAGGTCTTCAAGGAAGGAGGGCTGGGGTCCTGGGTTGAGAGGAGTTAGGGGCAGGATGTGAGATGAGGAAAGTATAATGGTATAACTAGAAGTGTGGTTGAAGGGAAAAGGGGATGGGCCATGGGGGAGATAAGAAGGACGTGAAGATCTAGACAATTTCCTAATCTGTTACGTGGATGAGTAGCCTTCTGGGCTGTGCTTGTGACTGCTCTTAGCACCTCTCTTCCCGCAGTGGGAGTGGGGACTACCAGACCCTGCCAGAGAGAACCCTGAACAAATTATCCCCAGTCCTCAGAGCTAATCATTAGAGATTTGTGTGTCCGATTTTTTTTTTATTTGTGCTTAGAGAACATGACCTGAGGGAGAAAGGTGGGTTGAATTTTTACTTTTGTGATTGAGTTTTCCTAAAAGGTAAGAGTGGAAGAAATGCTGGTTATCCAGGAAAGTGTAGTTTGGGATTGTTATGACACATGAAAGTGCCATAATGAAGAGAAACATAGAGTATAGCTAGAGAGGCGTTCTCGTGCAATCATTCTATCTTCATTTTTGCCTTAACCTTTGGCCACCTGTCTCTCTAAGATGAGTACCTGCCTTTATTCTTCTCTCTCCTCTGGTCCTGAGCCACGTGTCAGGAGTGCACTTAAGAAGATCTTTGGGTTTGACTCATTTAAGACCACCTTGCAGGAGAGTGCCACCATGGCAGTGGTTAAAGGTAACATACTACCAACCTTGGTGAAACCTCAGGGATACCATCCGTTGAGGCTGTGCTAACAGTGCTTCTTCCCTGCAGTGAACTCTCCCTTCCCTCCCAATTTAATGCCTCTAAGTCTGGAAAGCAAACCTCTTGTAGACCTGTCCTCTTAGCATAGATCCTAGATAACATAGCCACAACAAGTGACCTGGTTCATACATCTTGTAGTAGGGTTGCATCCCGAGTGAATGCAAAAGTAGCTGTTCTTCCACTGTTTGTTTTTGGTTTGGTTTAGTTTTGTAAATTAGGGGCTAGAATGACTAGTTTCAGTTATTAACTTGCTGGGTTGTCTCTCAAGCGTCATAGATCAAGCCTCCTCGAAAAGGGAAAGGAGGAAGTATTGGTGCTAACTTCTGAAATGATGTAAGATGGATATTGTGAGTTAAGTCTTCAAATAAATGGACCTTGTTAAGTGCAAAGCAGAAGTATTAATATTGATGCATTTGGAAATGAAAGATGCTGCCCCAGAGGAGGCACCACAGTTCGGCATCACCATGCCAACACTGCCCAATCCTTTCTCACCTTCGTTTTTTACTTTAATGGGTGTTTTATCCAGCCATCCATAACCCAGCTTATTTGGACTTTTCTGTTTTAGTTTCTGTTAGTTTCAGAAAGGTTAAGGGTTTACAACCTCTCAGAGCCTAGATTTACTTATCTGTAAGAGGGAGATAGTAATTTTTGCTCAAGCTTCAAAGAATTGTTTTAAGAAAACTTAGTACTACTTCCGGATGAGATATGAGGTGGAAAGCGCTGTACAAACCTTTAAAGCAGCTTATATAATTGTCGGCTATTATTATTATTCCTTATGAAAATGTTTCAGTGGTACCAGACCATAGAGTCCCCTGATCTTGTCCTCAAGGAGTTCCCTTCCCCAAATGGTAAAAGACTGTTGTTTTTACAGGTGAGAAGGATGTGTTCGTGTGCATGCCCACAGGGGCAGGGAAATCCTTGTGCTATCAGCTTCCTGCACTGCTGGCAGCAGGTATCACCATTGTGATCTCTCCTCTTATTGCCCTCATTCAGGTGAGACTTGGGGTAATGGAGGAAAGAAACCAAAAAAGGGGAAGATTGTCCAGGTGGAAGTTTCATTTCCTTTTTTTGGTTTCCCCTTCTTGCCTTCTCTGGTTTGCCTGTCTTGCTATCTGTATTAGTGGGTATCAGTTTTTGCAGACCAAGGATTCGAGTATAGTTTGTGCAGCTGGTGTATCATCAGACTTAGATGTGTCATGAAGAACTGTATTTCAACAGTTACGCTTTCCGTAGTCAATTTTTGAACACGCAAATGAGGTAGTAATGATAAAGAGAAGAAAAAGGATGCTTGAGGTTGGTTAGGGATAGGGAGAATGGGTGGGAAAAGCCTTTGATGTTGTCAGGACCCTGGTAAGGTCACAGGTGTGTCACAGAAGAAAAAAAGTTGGGGGGCAGCTAGGTGGCACAGTGGATAGATCGCTGGCCCTAGAGTCAGGAGGACCTAAGTTCAAATCCGGTCTCAGACCAGACACTTGACATTTAACTAATTTGTGACCCTGGGCAAGTCACTTAATCCCAGTTGCTTCACCAAAAAAAAAAAAGTTAGAAAATGCTTCTTGGGGTCTTGTCTCCATCTGTTTGAGTGTTTTAACTGCTCAGAACTCAAATGGGCTAATTAGGGCAGTTTACCTTCAATTCCCCTTCTTGAGGAACTTTTCCTCTTTCAGAAGGCTGAAGATGAAACACACTTTTCTCCTCTTGGCAGAGAAGTGATAGAAATCTTTAGATAAGACGGAACAAAACATGCATCCCCGACATGGCCATGTGTTGGTTTATTTTGTTTGTATTTCTTCCAAGGGACGGCAAGGTGACTTAGTACACTGATAGTGATAGACATGAAGAAAAAGAGCATAAATAAAACATGTTTAAAAAATGAATAGATGGGAGTCGAGGGGAAGGGCAAAAGGGAATACAAATAAAATAATTTTTTGTTCAGTCGTTTTTCAGTTGTGTCTGACTCTTCGTGACCCCATTTGGGGTTTTCTTGGCAAAGATACTGGAGTGGTTTGCCATTTCCTTCTTCAGCTTATTTTACAGATGAGGAAACTGAGGCAAACAGGGTTAAGTGACTTGCCTAGAGTCACACAGTTAAGTATCTGAGACCAGATTTGAACTCCAGAAGATGAATCAGGTGACTGTGCAGCAGATAGAGTTGTAGCCTGGAGTCAAGAAGGCTTACCTTCATGAGTTCAATTCTTGTCTCAGACACTTACTAGCTTGGTGACTCTTAGCCTTCCCTTAGCTCACTTTCCAGCTTTCTTTGAATATGTGATACTGATACACTGAGCTAGGATCCTCTGTTGCTCATTGATTGGTCTAGGATGCTAGAAGGAGGCATTTCAGTTAGATCTTGAAAAGCCTGAGCTTTTCTGTCTTCTGTTTACTGATCATCTTGCTTATCTGCATGTGGGATGGGCCATTTCTGGGATAAAGAGGAGTCTCTGCCTAGCATGGAAGGTGAACCCATGTGACTTTTTGCTGTTCCTTCACCCTACTAAACCTTTGACCTTTCCTATAGCCATACTTCCTGAGTTTTTCTCCCATTCTGATCTTGGTCACCTTAGGAAGGGCATCAGGATATTAACACCATAAAAGTAATGGGTTTTTTTTCCTTTTACAAAATTTGAGTCATGAGCACAGCCAATTGGGTATGAGTGGTAGGAGGGGAAACTTGCATCCTTTAATAAAGTAGGAGTGCTGATTAGAGCTGGGAAATGCCCTTGGGGATTTATGTGAGGTATTGAGTCCTAAAAGCAGAATTTACCTTTCTCTTTATTCAGGACCAGGTAGATCACTTGTTGGCTCTGAAAGTTCGTGTATGCTCTCTGAACTCCAAATTATCTGCTCAGGAGAGAAAGAAAATTCTAATGGACCTGGAGAAGGAAAAGCCACAGACAAAGCTCTTATATATCACTCCTGAAATGGCAGCCTCTGCCTCCTTTCAGCCCATTCTGAGCTCACTGGTGTCCCGACACCTTCTCTCCTACCTGGTGGTAGATGAGGCTCATTGTGTCTCCCAGTGGGGGCATGACTTCCGACCCGATTACCTCCGGCTAGGTGCCCTGAGGAAACGAATACCCCATGCCCCTTGTGTGGCTTTGACAGCCACAGCTACCCAGCAAGTTCAGGAGGATGTGGTCACTGCCTTGAAGTTGCGACAGCCAGTTGCCATCTTTAAAACACCCTGTTTCCGGGACAACCTCTTCTATGATGTGCAGTTCAAGGACCTGCTTGGTGATCCCTATGGGAACCTCAGGGACTTCTGCCTAAAGGCACTTGGACAGAAAAACGATAAGGAAGTAAATGATTGTTGAGAACGGGATATGGGGAAACTATCAAATCTTTGGGATGCGACCTATAGTTCCTATGCTCTGGATTACACAGATGAAAGTTGGTTTCCTAAAGCTGTTTCTCCTGTCTAGCTTTCTTGGCTGGCAGTGGCAATAGTTTCTTAAAAACTTATAGAACTCATGAATTTTTGTTTTCTAGAGTTTTCCTTTGTCCTGATTCTCTTTATCCTAGATTCTCCCTTGAAGGGTAAACCAGTAGACCGTACTGCTGTGTTGGAACTTTGAAAATCTGAATGATTTTTTAAATCGTAGAGTGAGATGGTGGAATTAAAAGGCTTGGGTTCAACATTTTTTTTCTCCAGTTGCATCCCAAATCAGAATGGCCCCTGCTAGTGTGGATTCCTTGCCTGTGCATATAGCCCTGAAGAGATTGTAGGAACTGTCAAGAGGAAAAGCCCATGGTGGCCGTGGTCACTTTGTTCCTTTTATGCTGATTACAACTTGTTCTCTGTCTCATGCAGGCTTTTCCTGGCTGTGGCATCGTGTACTGCAGGACACGAGAGGCCTGTGAACAGGTGGCAACAGAGCTCAGCTCCAGGGGTGTAAAAGCCAAGGCTTATCATGCAGGTATGGGGGCCATGGAGACTGACCCCTTTGCCTTTTCAGAACCCCCTTGATGGAAGCCGCCTGGTCCTCCCTGCCTCCTGGTAGTCAAGTCATATGTCATCTCTTTTTGCCTTCAGAAAGAGCCAGAGAACTGGGCTTCAAGCCTCAGAAGGAAGGAACTGGGGCTGAAGTAAGGTGTACAATGAGATTTGTGGGTATGATTTCCATGCTGTCCTCTGCATCCCTTGTGATAAGCAGCTGGTTGATATTTCAGAATCTCTGGGACACCAGTAGGGAATGGGAATCACAAGTGGCACCCCAAGAACTTCTTGCTCTTTCTTTCAGAACTCTTCACTTTCCTTTGGTCCTTCCGCAGGGCTCAAGGCCGAGGACAGGATGTTAGTGCAAAATGAGTGGATGGAGGAGAAGGTTCCTGTCATTGTTGCAACCATCAGTTTCGGGATGGGAGTGGACAAAGCAAATGTCAGGTGGGCAGTTACTCTGTGAGTCCTATGGGGCTGTCCAAGGACTGGCTGTGTAGTATCTTACCCAAGGGAGCTGACTGGTGTTCTCCCTCCAGTATCAGAAAGAGGGGCAGCTCCTTAGGGGGTTCAGAGGAAATACTGTATTGTGATTGAATAAAGAAGGAAGGGGTAGAACACTCAGCCCAATGTAACTATGCACAGATACTATGTACCCTCTTACATAATTCTTCCCCCCACATGCCACTCACTCTTTGTTGATGCAGTTCTGCTAAATGGCTAGAAAGGCAGGCAATTAGATATTGTTGACATTAAGTAATTGAATAATGCTTCAGAGGAGTTGGGAGTAAGGAATTGATTATCTTCTCTTTACTATTTACTGATGACCCAGAGAGTTATAGGGCAAATATTAGCTTTCTTAAGTCCACATTTGAAAATAGTTCTTAGTAATAGTTGACTCCCAGCCATGGACCTAAATATTGGGAAGCATTTTGGTCTGAAGGCTCAAGGAAGTTAGTATCTTGACTCTTTGTTCCCATATGTGCACTGGAGTTCTTAAAGTTCCCTGATGAATAGCTCTTGTGTACTCTGGGTTAGGCTCCTGTATGGCACTGAAATCTGCTGATAGGCACGGGTACTTCTTCTTTCCCTGCCCCAAGACCCTTACTCTCTCTTATATTACATACACCCTTCTATCCTATCTGGTCTCTGCCCTCAAGGAGCTCCTATTTTAATGAGGGAGACAATATGCAAATAACTATATACAAGATTTATACTGATTTATACTATAACAGAAGGTAATCTTAGAGGGGAGCCCATAGCACTGGGGAGGACCACTGGGAAAGGGCTCCTGCAGAAGACTTGAGTCTTCTGAGTCCTGAAAGAAACCAGGAGGGAAAGCATTGCAGGCATGGGAGTCACAGCCAGTGCAAAGGCACAGAAAGGGGAGAGGGACTGTCATGTTCAGAGAACAGCTAGTAGGCAGGTGCAGCTGTATTTAAAAGTTCATGGAGAAGAACAAAGTGTAATATACTGGAAAGATAGGAAGGATCCAGGATGTGAAGGGTTTTAAATGCCTAGCAGCATTTTACATTTTATGCTAGGGGTAACAAGGAGGCACACCATCAGGCCCGTGCTTTAGCAAAGTCAGGGTAGCAGCTGAGTGGGGGTCCGATTGAAGCAAGGAGAGACTTGAAGCAGGGAGACCAGCCACAAGGTTGGATCATGCCTCTTCTCAACTCTTCATTTCTCCATTGGTTTTTACTCTGGGTCCCGCAGATTTGTTGCCCACTGGAATATCGCCAAGTCAATGGCTGGGTATTACCAAGAGTCTGGACGAGCTGGGAGGGATGGACAGCCCTCTTGGTGCCGCCTCTATTACTCCAGGAATGATCGGGATCAAGTCAGCTTTCTGATAAAGAAGGAGATCTCAAAACTGCAGGTAAGCCTTGGGTAGCAGTTACTCAAATTTTCTGTCCTCTTCTCAGTCTGAGCCTTTCTGTCTGTCTCTTTCTCTTGAAATTCATTTATTTACCTCAAGGGTCAGTCATTATTTCTATAAAAACTTAAAGTCATGGTAAAAAGTAATATTTAAACAAATGATTCCTTTATACTTATTAAAACAAAACAAAACAATTCCTTCATGAATTGGTTCATTAAAGTCTAAGTAGTTTTTCTTTGCAACAGACATTACCCCTAACATATATATGGGTAACAGTTGCTGCTAGTCCTCAATCCTGAGTAATTTCTAGGGTCTGTTTGGTTCTGTTAAATGTACCAAACCCTTAAAATTTACTTACCTCAAGCATTGCAAAGAGGATACTGCTTCCACTACAGAGGTCCTTCCTAAATCCTTGTTCTTCTGTTCTTTTACATCAAGTACAAAGAATACTCTTAAAAAAAAAGTACTGGGTCTGCCTATCTTGCCCAGACTGGAAATGCAGGGGCCATTCACAGATCCAGTTTGCACAGTTTTAGTTTACAAAGAAGCTCTGACCTACTCCATTTCTGATCTGGACTGGCTTACCCCTGCTTATGCACCTTGGTGTGTAAGCCACCCTTCCTTCTGGGGGCTAATCATGTTAATTAATGTTGAACTTAGTGCACATACCTAAGCAACCCTAGACCACTTAAATAGTCTAGAAAAGAAAATTAGCATTCATAGAGATTTGGCCAGTCTCACATGATATTTTGACATCTTCAACAGCCTAATAAATTTCTTAATAGAACAAAACATTGAGAGGGTACTGGGAAATTATTGGTCTGTCCTTAAAAAGACCCCCAAGGTGAGGGTTACTGCTGTCCAATAGCAAATTTGACATTCTGCATCTTCAATAAGGTGGTGCCTTGTCTATAGCTGTTCTTTGGCAGCTCCCCTGTTACAGCCTGCATCAGGGTATTGAGTCCATAATTAAGCAATAGGAATTTGTGATCACTTTTATTCCTTGAACTCTCTTAATTTGGAATGATGTTTACCTTTGGAATGATGCGTACCTACGTTTTCTGACTTACTCCTGGCATTGAAGATTACAACTCAGACAGGTTAAGGTATTGGCCCCTCAAGTTAATTTTTCCCCCCTTCCATCAGCCCAGACAGAAGGCAGTTCCTCAAAACTACATCCAATTTCAGTAGTATTGTTTGGTTGGTTATATAGTAAATCCTGGCTCAAATTTCCTATAAGGCAAGAATCTTGTGATCTTGTACAGCTTGATTCTTTGCTTTTTCAGCTGGTTGGTGGTTTTGAAGAATTCATTATGATGCAAGGGTATTCAAGGAGTTCCTTTAGAATCAGCCTCTGATGAGGATTATGTTTCAAAAGCTTTAAAAATAAATTCCTTAGCCCCTTCTATTACAAAGTCAAAGAATTAATATTCAACCCTTGAAATGCTTCTCAAAGTTTCTTGATATATTTCTGCTTAAAAAAGAGACTAACCAGAAATTCATAGCACAGAGCTCTAAGATTCAGTAGGTCCAACTTTTCATCATGCATCCTGCCTTCAGTCCTCTCAGGAGGTAGATAGTAAAGCGTACCCCAAAGAGTAGTCCTAGATGATTGAGGATACACTGACCTGCCCAAGTCGTCAGTCTTCACTCTACCATCTGGTTCACCAGTTTAATATCCAGGCGAGTCACCTCTTTTAAGTGACAGTGTAATAAGGCCTCTTCCAGTAATCTGAGACTTTCTCTTTCTGTCTTTCTGAGTCCTCAGTTTCGGGTTAAAGGGGTACTCTTAGATCTAGGCCTTAAGGTAGTATGGAAGGTCAGCAAGTATTGATTAAGTACTTAATATGTGTCAGGCACTATGCTAAGCCCTGAGAATATAAATACAAGCAAAATAAAGACATGGAGCTTATGGGAGAATATAACGCATAAAAGGAAGCCAAAAATCTGGGAGGGCAAAGGGTGAGCAGGTATGCTGGAGAAAGAAGAGAACCAAGAATGGAGCTCAGGGAGGAATAAAGGATTGAAAGTAATTGGCCTGGGCATTTGCCTTGAAGTGGAGGTGCTGGGAAGTACAGACCAGTCAGAGGAAGGGACTGCAGAGACAGTGTAATCTCCCATGGCAAGGTCACTTAATTGAAGGGGATCTCAGAAGCCATCTAGTCCAACCTACATCCCTCCAGCAACTGGACTTCCAGCTTTGCCACTACCTCCTGAACCATCCACATTTCTTAGGTCAAGCTAAATTTGTCTCTCTGTAACTTCCACCTCTCATGCTTTAGTTCTGCTACTTTTGGTGTAAAGGAGGACACATCTGATCCTTCTTCCATGTGGTGATCTTTTATAAAGCATATATTTAAAGACATCTGAGTCAGGAAGATTCACCTTCCGGAGTTCAAATCTGTCTTCAGCTACATCCTAGCTGTGTGACCCTGGACAAGTCATTTAACCCTGTTAGCCTCAGTTCCTCATCTGTAAAATGAGCTGGAGAAGGACATGCAAAACCGCTCTAGCAGTATCTCTGCCAAGAAAACCCCAAATGGGATCTCGGAGAGTCAGACACGAAAAAATGACTTCACAGTAAATCCTGTTATATCGTCTTTTGATCATACTGTGAATTTTGTCTTCTGGTCTCATGATTCCCATTTTCTTTTTATGGCATGGTCTCCAGACCCTTCACCATCCTAGTTTCTCCCCTCTGGACATTCTACTTTTCAAAAACAAAAAACTGAACACACTATTCCAGAAAGGGCCAGGTGGGGCTGTCACCGTCTGGATACTGGATATTAGGCCTATCTTAATATAGCTAAAATCTCATTTACTTACTCTTTCTCACTGTTAAATTTCATCTTATTCAATAAGGGTCCTTATTCCCTTCTGTTGAGATCTTTTTGGATCCTTGACTGCATCCAGCATGTTTTTATTCCTTCTAGTTTTCTGTCATCTTCAAACTATCAGTATACAATCTTTGCCTTCATCTAAGTTATTGATAAATGTTAAATAACAATGCCAGGGACAGATCTCTGGGGCACTTCACTAGAAGAGACCTCCCTCCAGGATTTGACATCAACTCATCAATGACTTTTCTTTGGGTTTGTTAATCAACAAGTTCCGAATTCATTTAACTGTGCTGTCTTCTGTCCAAGGTCTCTCTAGCTTGTTCACGGGTTAGCTTAAGAAGTATGTTGTCAGACATCTTTCTGAAATCTGCATTTCCAGCATTCCCATGGTCCTACCAGTCTGATGACTTGAAGTCAGTCTGGCATGATTGTTTTTGGTGTAGCCAATGTGGCTCTTGGTGATTGTAGCTTCCTTTTCTAAATCTGCACAGACTGTTCTTTTCATGAGACATTCTACAGCTTTGCTAAGAATCTAAGTTTATAGTTTGTAGAGTCTGTTCTCTTCTCTTTTGTGAAAAGAGTAGAGTGCAAAAGTTATAGCAAGATTGTGGGGTCATCTGATGTCATTGAAGTGGTTAATAATCATATTTTGTTTCATGAATAATTGAAAATATTAAAGTGGACCAAAACAAATGTGACCATTAAAAGCGGTCAGCTTTGTGAAGAATTTTGTGCAATTCCATGTCTTAATACTATGTGGAAAAAACATCAGACATGGAGTTTGAAAGCCTCAGGGCCCACTCCTGCCTTATGTACCTGCATAGGGCAGGTGGAAAGAAGGCAGAACTTGCAGTGGGCTAGGAAGAGTTTTTGTTTCAATGGCCTTTGATTACCTCTAGGAAAAGAGAGGGAACAAGGACTCTGATAAAGCCAGCATGACAGCCTTTGAGGCCCTGGTGGACTTCTGTGAGAAGCTGGGGTAAGTATCATTTCTTGTTTGGAATTGAATGAAATGTTGGCTTGAGTATTTCCCTCCCCTAAAGTACTGTTAATGTTAAAAGGTCACAAAAAACAACTCTGTTCCATCAAGGTGTGACTTCTGAAGGAAGACAGTTGGTTCTGCTTCTCCCCAGTCTGCCTTTGGGCAGCTTTTTCAGTGGAAAAGAGAACACAGCAGGGTGGCTTGAGCCCCACAGAACTCGACCTTATGGGATTTGGCCCAGCCTGCGTCAGGAAAACCATCTGTATCTTAATTCATTGGCCCGTGTCTTCCTGATTCAATCCTGCACGATGTGGTCATCTCTAAGCAAAGCCATTGTGTTTATTATATGGCGCTGGGCCACCTTCTCTGTTTTTATTCCAGGACAGCAGCTACTTTAAGACCCAAGTAAACCTCAGCACCTGACCCAGCTCAACTATTGGGCTGCTGGTGATTTAGTTTGGGGAAATTGGCTGTTACAACAGAGGAGCAAATTAACTTTTTCAATTCAAATTAATTTCATAGCCATCCTTTTTTGAACACCTTTTTTCAAAAAGCCACTATGCTAAGTGCTGAGGGTGATATGGAGATGAAAAAAACATTCTCTTCTACCCTCACAGACCTAACAATTTAGTCTGAAAGAAGAGACATATAAAACTGGCTTGGGGAGGGATCTCTTCTGTCTGATGGGAATTAAGAAGGGCTTCATGGAAAATGTTCCATTTGAAGTGGTGCAGGAAGAATGGGTAGGATTTAAACAGATGGGAATTGGGAAACAGGCCCTTTCTCCAGTCAGATAAACGGTGTGGGTTGTATTCTGAGAATAAGGAGTAGGGCTGGTAAAGGGAGTAGTGAAAGATAACAAACGTGGAAGCCAAATTGTGGAGGGCCTTGAATACACCAGGCAAAAATAGGAGAGTAATGTGGTAAAAGCTGCTTCCTGGGAAGCTTAATCAGGCAGCAGTGTTGGGAGGATTGGGCAGAGGAGCCATGGAGATCAGGGAGGCCAAGGTAGAGGGTGACTGCTGCAGGAGCTGACCAAGGGTGGTGGCAATGGGAATAGAAAGGAGGGGAAATGTATGTAACTGACATGGCTCACAGCTACTTACCAGCGTGAGGATATGGGATGGGGCAGGGCCCGAGAGAGGGAAGAGTCTGGGGGCTGAAGTTCAGGCTGGGTCTGCATAGGACATGGATTACTGCTCAAGAGAGGGCATTGAGGGAGTAGTAGAAGGCACCTCTTCTTCAATGCTCTGTTATGGAAGCTAGAGCTGATTTTGTGTAAAATGTGTATTTTGGGCAATTCCACTGGCAGGGGGGAAAGGAGATGCTGGAAGCAAGCAGGCCAGTTAGGGGGCTGATGCAGTGGTCTTGGAGAGATCACCAGAGCCTGTACTAGCCAGGTTTGTGGCAGTGGGGATGGAAAGGAGGGGATATTTGTAACTGGTCATTCCACGTCTTCCAGGGGGCTCTAGTCTTCCCCTCTCCCTCCTCTCTTCTTGTCCTTATTACTCTCTGATCTTCTGTAATGAGAAGGTGGCACCAGACTGAAGTAGTTTCCTTCTCCATAATTTGACCTGGCCAGATTATGAGGCACACACCCAACAGGCCGGACTAGTGGGCTGGAGTTCAGTAACTGCCCTTGCCCACAGCCAGTGTTGTCCTGTGCCCTCAGTTCCAGGGATTGTGGGGAGCTGCTAAATTGTGTCTTTTGAGGCTCTCTGGGGAAGGCTTTCATTTCTGCCGAGAGATGAAAGAGCCAAGTGTTCTTGCTAATTGTCAGACCCACTTTGGGCTTTGGTCCTGCTTCCTAGAAATAACTCTGGATGCTTCTCTGAGTGGGGGGTCGGGCCAAGTTCTCCACAGGGGTTCCATGTGATGTCACCTCCTTGCCACGAACACAGAGACCCTACAGAAGGGACTACCCAGGCAGTGTGCAGCTGCGCTTCCTTCATGGAACCGAGGACACACTGGTCCTATAATTGCCTTTGGCATATTCCTCTGCTTGCCTCAGTGGGCAGGTCTGTCTGTGGACTCTTTTGTCATCCCACTTCCCCCCCTACATCCCCCTCCCTGACTTCAATCTCTTTTAATTTCTTGCCCATCTTGTCCCTGGGAGGAAGCTCCTGGTCTGAAAAGCAGAGTCTGACCTAGGACTGCAAGGGTTAGAGTGGGGAACTCTCTTGGCCCCCTATGTCCTGAGTAGCTCTTTAGAGTTAAGAGAAGCCTTCCTTGATTAAACAGTGTACAGTGTGAAGGAAAAAAATGTTCTATAAACGCCTGTGTTTCCTAAAACAGCTCACCCTAGTTTTAAGCTGAAGTTGCCTTGGCTGTTTCCTTAAAAAAAAATCCTTTAATAGGGAACTTTTGGGATAGAGGTATGGTAGTCATATGAGAAAATGAATGGTGCGGGAAGCAATTAGGTAGAGTAGAGAGATACGTTGAGCACATCACAAGAGACAATACACAGAATGAGTGTAAATCGATGATAATTTCTCTTTTACTGTTTGAGCCGGGTATGATTTTTAAAATCTGTTCTTTTAACCAAGAAGCAACTGTTTTCCTTTTATAGATATATGCTCTTACTGTTTTTATAGCACTATTATTTTTAGAGAGATATTGCTATTACACTATTATTTTTAGACAGATATTGACTGTATATATATTCTAGATTTATGTTATTACTCACCTATTTATTCAGGAGAAAATTGCTTATTGGAATTATTGTAATGTGGCGATGGGTTGAGTATTTGCTTTTAAAAATATTAAATTCAGAATATCTGTTTTTCTGAAAAAAAGAGCATCCTTGGACTCTGGACACCTAGAATCAAGTATCAGTTGATGTATGTTAAAACATGATGAGGATCTTTCTCCTGTGGAAGCCTTCATGGTTAGATTAGAGTTGTACAGGGGAAATGAGAATCCGAAAGTGGCAGCTCAAGAGGGTGGAGACAGGAATGGAGACAATCTCTGACTGTAGGCTGGAGGCAGAGGATGGAAACATTGATTATCCATGATGGGGCTTTTTATTTGAGATCATTGTAAAGAACACTGTTTAGTTTATAGTTGGAAAACATTGGCACTTTGAGGGGGAGGGGACTGGACTTTTCAGCCAGGGTGGAGAAGTTTGTCAGATGTGATTTTTCCCACAGTTCTTTTCTTCTTCCCTGATCCTCTTCCCACATCTCTGGTGAAGGCACGGAAGAACTTATCCTGGAGCAGCAGGAGGACATAAGGCTATATAGGATGGACCCCATGGGACATGGATATTTGTCTCAGAACAGTCTCTCTCCATCTTGTCCAGCCCTCCAAAAATGACTCTGCAAATTCTGTTATTCTAGAATCTCCCAGGACCTTCTGTGGAGGTCATTGACAGAAAACTTGGCTTTGGGCAGAGGTGATGCCTTCCTGGCAGGGATTGGCAGACCAGTTTCCTTTCTCATCTCTTCTCATCCAAGTTAAATCTCTTGGCTTTTTTGAGAAGTAGGTTTGGAAGTTATCTCTGAGTAGAAGTAGTTGAAAAGAACAGCAAAGAGGAAGAGAACAATAATTGTGGTGTAGAACAGGCACATCACCACCAGGGGCCCAAAGGACCAGGGATCACTTTGGTCCTTTACTTCAGAGAATTCATTCTGTCTCTGGACAAATTCTGTCATATTTGTGACAGGTGTGTCCATTCATCTGGAAGAGAAAGCACAGGCGAGTGGGTAAACGATACTCTGTGGCAAAGAACATGGCTTCTGTACCTCTCTTACTGTGCTTCCTTTCTTTATCATTTAGGTATACTTTTGGCCTATTTGGGTTGTCGGACATGAGAGGAAATGACCCCTTCAGCAGGCAGCTGAGGGAACATTAATACTGAAAGCAGGGAATATCTTAAAACAAACTGTGTCCCTCTACCTCCTTTCTAGCCCCACCTCCTTGTATCGAACAGAAATGGAAGTAGATGCCCCAGTCCTAACCCCTTTCTTGAATTCTTCCCAGCTGAAGCCCAAGTGCCACTACGTGCCTTTCACCCTATATAATCCGTGTCCTAGTTGCCAGGTCATGTGGAGGATTTTTAGGGGATACGTCTGAGACTGGAGCAGTATCTTCAGAACCGTCTTGCTGGCACTGAGGTCTAAAAGGAGATTCCCAGGAGGTGGCTAGAGGAGTAAGCACCCCTGCCATGAGCCCATTGGGAAGGAAGCTGATAGCCACAGGGTTGGGACCTGGAAAACTGGCTGATTTTGTCAGTGAAAATGGAGTAATTATTACCTAATTCTGTTGTCACTGTTGTGCTCTGTCTCCCCCATCTATGGCAAATTGAAATGGTTAGCCTAGAGCTCAAGCCACTGCACAAGTAAGCTAGCTGGAGCTGTTCTGAGACATGAGGAGGCAGCAGGTGGAAAGCGCTAGTATCTCTAGTCAGTGCTAGAAAGAAGAACCAGATCCTTCTATAACTATAACTACTCCCTCACTGTCATTACCAAAGCAACAAGGCAGGACAGGGCATGGCTACCTGGCAACAACAACAATTTCCCTTCAGCCCTCCACATTCACCCTTCAGGTTGCATGCTGCCCCTTTATGACATCTCTTATTACCCCTAGAAGATTGTCCTTCTTGTTCATTTTTAAAAAATCACTCCTATATGACAACATTGGAGGTGAAGGGAGGATACCCTGTATGGTAGGATTTCCCCCAGTTAACATGCCCTAGGCTAGCCCAGGTTCTTACCTGATGATGGCTGTCTAGTTGATCTAGATGACCTGCTCTAGAGCACAGGAGAAGCTTGGAGCCAGTTCTGCCCAAGTCTTTGAAAATGTCCTTTCAGTGCTGGGGTGAATGATTAACTATAATCTTGGCCAGTCCCTCCTGGTACTAGTTTCTGAGAGAAGGATTCTTATCACAGCAGGAACCTCGTGCTTCATTTTTCTGGGCAAGACAACGTTTCCCCAGTTGCCTCTGCTTTCTTCTAGGATAAGTTCCCATATCTCTTTAATGATGTGATCAAGAAAATGAAAAGAACTAGATCAATGTTCCCTAGTGTGGATTAGGGACATCCACTCAGGTTAGCCCTCAAGAACATCCTGTGTGTTACCTTCTTCAACAAACATTATCCATCTTGAGTAAGATCAGCCCTTGATATGTTTGCAGCCTGTTGCTGTTTGCTTTTTGTAGAGATTAGGTCCTCAGGGTTACTGCCTTATCCTTGTTCTCCATGTTTACCTTTTCCTTTTAAAAAAAATCCATTTACCTGCTTTCCCAGAATTCAAAAGGAAGCTGCTAGTTTCAGTGGCTTGACAAGCTGCTACCATGTTGGCTCAAACCAAGCTCACTAATCGGGATGCAATTTAAATGAACCTGGAGCTCTTTCAGAGCCCTGTGAAATGTGACAGCCAGCCAGGGCATTGCCATTACAAGTAACTGAGTGAGCAGTCTTCCTTTGCCCTTAGGGTACAGTGGGAGACATCTGCCTGTCCTGTGGGGGCAGGACTCTTACTTCCAGTATTTGGGAAGAGGTGGTCAACAGCCCTACAAGTTAGACTAGTTTTAGCAGTAGAGCTTCATTTTACTATCCTGACAAGAAGGGACAGTCCCTAGTGCTGAGGAAGGACTTGTGTGTGGCAGTATTTAGGGCAGCAACAACATGAGAGAAGATCGAAGATGAGATTGATTCAGATCTCACCGCCACCACCTTGTATTGCTTCTGCCTACTCTTTTTGTAGAAGATAGGACTCCTTCCCTATCTGCCTACCTGTGCTGTTTTCTTTCTGAGAAGAAAGGCAACTTTACCCTTTTGAGTCCTATCCATTCACATGGAGGTTATTTTGACAAAGAGTTGGGAGTGTGTTTGTGTTTGGGATGGGAACTGGTTGACTTTGATGGAGATAATGAAACCAGATCCTGGGCCTGTGCTTTAAGTTGGAATCCCATAATTGGATTGAAGTGTAGGGCTTGAGATTAGGAGGCTGAGCCTGTATGTATATATATATATATATATATATATATATATATATATATTCAGGTGTGGTGAATTTAACAGTTGACTCAGAAAGTACTACTGTGCCCCTCCTTCCTCCGAGCACACAGTTGTCTGTAGCATTTATTGCCAAACCCTATTGGATTCTTGCACTGCTTTTAAAATTTTTTATGGAGCTGTCAGCAGGGGAAGGGGCAGGGAAATATTTGTGTAAGATGGAAATAGTTCCTCCCATTGTCTTCAGCCCCAACCTGTCCAACCAGTGCGTGAAAATCAGGAAGTGAAACCAGCAAACAGTGCCTGCCCTTCCTGGCCTGGTGAACTTGGCCAGGTTCCTGGACTGAACAGGCAATGGGGACAGGCGGCAGAGCGCTGTGGGGTCAAGCCTTCGTTCTCAGGGAGCCACAAGAGTGACAAGGAGGCACAGAAAAGGAACAGAACTAGAAATATTTTCCACTTGATGGCTCTGGGTAATTATTGACTTAGGAGAATGAGAAATCACAATGAGGATGTTGCTCTCGGCAACCCCTCCACTTATGGAAACCTTTTGCTCCTTCCACCTCCATTCCTGGGTTTATATCTCTTTCCACCTGAAAAGATCCCTTGGAACAGGAACCAAAAACTAGCTGGGGTCAGGGGCAAAGCAGTGTGCCACACCTTAGGCCAGTTCTGAAACTGGCTTCTTCTACAAGCTCAAGGCTAAAGCAGGGGGGCCAGGAGCAACAAGAAGCCATCAAAACTTTCCTGCATCTTAAAGTTTGGGAAAGATGTTTTTGTTGTCCCCTTCCTGCATTGCGGTTGAGCGAAAATAGGAGATGCAGGAGTTCCGTAGAAACCCTGGTTAGGGCTGAATGCCTCTGAGCCACCCTTTGTCTGGACTCCTCCAGCGATTGTTGTTCCACTGGGGCGTTTGGCTTTGGCACAGAGGACAGCCAATCCAGTCCCCCACAAAGTGCACTCCCTCGAAAACATTTAGATAAAACCACTCTGTGGAATGATTGTGACTCTCACTTTCCACTTTTGTATTTACCATTCAATAACAAAAAGGATATATATTTTAATAATTTGATGACAGTGTCTTCTGTTGTATTTGACCTGAGTTTTGCTGCCTTTTTACTGTTTAACAGATTTCTCCACGTTTATTCATTACATCCCTCAGCCTGTTTCTCCATCAGCTCTTCTCATTACTCTGCAAGTCACTTCTGTTTGGGTGACCTTCATGAGCACTTGCATGGGGGAGGGATAGAGAAGGCAGGTACCAATCACTCCCTTGACGCCTGTTAGTCTCCTCCCCTACTAATGAACCGGCCCCAAACTCCAGGGTAACTGGTACCTTAATGGCACTTTTACTTGGAAAGAAAAAAGCACATTCTGGAATAAAGGTTCATTGCATTTTCTCATTTACATGGGTTTTGGGGCATACTAATTATCATACAGTCTGGCTACTTCTTTGGCATAGATTAATTTAGTCCTCTCATGGCAGCTGGCTAAGAATGAGATGGCCCTTCTCAGGGGCCTGGGAACAGGCCTACTTCCCTTTTTTTATGGTAAGGCACAGACCAAGAAAGGAATAAAAACAGTTTGTCCATAGTCTCTGGCACGGTTGGTTTATCTTTGGCATCTCTTGTTCACCAAAAGGTTCATCTGAGCTTCCTGGCTTCTCACTTTTCATGTCAAGCCTCAGTTCCCAGTCTCAGAGCCAGAACTAGGGCCAGTTACCTATGTGGCCACAGTCCAGCCTGTTCCAGGTTCTCCCAGAAAAACAGATCTCTCTTTCTGCACCCTGTCTTGAATGCTGTGGGCTGCAGGGCCATGGCTGGAATCTCTTGGCAGGATTTGGCAGCCTCCTTTCTGGCTTTCCTTCTGTCCTCACCCTGTCTCTCATGATGGTGTCATGGGCCGGACCTGAACCTTCCGGCTTCTCTGGTCAGGGCAGCAGCATTGAGTACAGCAGCAGCTGCAGGCTATTGCCAATAGCAGCAGCACAGTAGCTAGGGTAAAGGGACGGGGGAAGGGGAGAAAAGAAGAGGAAATCTGTATTAATTAATTTTTCTGAAAAGATAAACCATGGGAAATTGGCCAAGTCTCGGATCATCCCAAGTCATCTGGAAGGAAAGTCTAAACTTGGGGAAGCCACTCTAGGGCAAGGCAGGGAATTTGACTCTGTCTGGTTCAAGGTCCTTGGAGCCAGGCCAGGCCAGAATTCTCTGGCTCCTAAGGAACATTTCTTTGACGCATTCATTCATTTCCGCACTAGAGCTGTGAGGCATAGCTCATGTTTCATAGGGCAAATAGATCTCTGTTTGAGTTTCCTGCTCCTAGAGAAGCTTCCGAGGGGGTACTGCCTCTCCTCAAGGGCCTGGGTGAGATGTCATAAGGATGACACATTGGATAGAGCATTGGGCTTGGAGTCAGGAAGATCTGAGTTCAAATTTGTCCTCAGATCCTTAGTAGCTGTGTGACCCTGGGCAAGTCACTCAGCCTGTTTGCCTCCATTTCCTCAACTGTAAACTATAAAATAGGGATGATAACGAGTTGTTGTGAGGATCAAATGAGATAATATCTGTAAAGCGCAACCCAGTGCCTGGCACACAGTGGGCTCTGTATAACTGCTTATTTTCTCCCCATCCTCCTGATTTCCTCCAGTCATAAGTTGGAGAATCTAATAAAGTTAGTTCCAGATCTGTCCTGTTAACATCCCTCCTACCTCCTTTCCTCCTCCCATATACCCCTGAACTCTTTCCTTAGAGCTGTCTCCCTGCTCCTGACTCTTGCCCCAAACTACCACTCCTCTACTGCTGGCAAACTGACCTCCTTCACCTCTCCTGCCGCTTGATTATCAAGTTCGTTTCCCCTGAGCTAACTTCATTCTAGAAGATCCAGCCCTGAAAGAAATCACTGTGCAACCTCCACCCTGAAATCTACCCTTGGTAGAGAATAGAGATTGTGCCACCCTGGGGCTAGGTCATGAGCTCTGCCCATTTGCGGGCTATCACCTTCCCGATCCCGATCTGGATACAGAAGAAACATGAAGTCCCCCAACTTACCAATGAAGAATAGGATGACAGAGAAGGCTACAATCTCAATAGGCTCGGCCTGAGGCAGCTGCCGTAACTTCAGGAGGAACTTCTGGCCCATCGAATGCATCTCCTGCAGGAAGGTCTGGGTTGCCATGCTGTACCACACTTCCTTCTATACTGTAACTGAGGAAGACAGAGGCTGGAGTGAGTTAGCGCAGTGCCTCCACACCACTTGGAAGCACCAGAGATCCTGCCTTCTACCCACTCTCCACATCGGACTGCCCCGTATCTCACTCACAAAACAAGTTTGTCTGGTCTCAGTGATCCTTTTCCTCCTGGGTCACATGGGGAGTTGATGGGGCACTTAGCTGCTTGGCTCAGCCCCTCCCTAGCTGGGAGATCTAGACCCTTTCCCTCCTCACATTTATCCCATGAGTGATGAAAGTCAGTGATCCATCCATGGATAGCATTCCCTTTTCTACTTCCAAAGGTTTACTTCTAGGGAAAGAATTCCACTGCTTCTCCACTAATGGGGGCCCCGAGTGATGGGATTGGTTGGTGAGGATAAATGTCAGGCCATGTTACTGAAGCAACCTGATAGTTGTCCAAGGATATGGGTATGATCGTAAACACAGGTTACAAACTGGACACTGCTGTCGCATTCCTTTGTCTGTGGACACCACTTGTAGGTTCTGCCTTGTAGCCTCTGACTGGCAAAACCACACTTAAGCATCCTAGCATTAGCTGCACTGGGTTCTCTCCCCTTGGTCCCATTAGTGGAGTAGGAGTAAAATTCTTTCCCCAGAAGTAGGATCATTGAATTCCATCATTCCTGGGAGCAGTGGGGAGAAAAAGGATCCAGATCTCCCGAGAACATGCTCTTTTAGGCATTCTGTTAATGTTGACCCTCTCGTGAAGAGTGATTAAGCCTTTGGGGAAAAAAAGGCTAAGGCAGGCTCATGACTCTTTGCGCACCTGAGCCAAGATGGCTCTGCCCAGCCTTCCAGCAGCTCTCAGCTCTTCTGTTCTCATTGCTGAGAACCCCACTGTCACCTTTCCTCACAGTCTGTGCTCTCACAAAAAGAAAGGGGTAGATGACCTCTTATCCTTCTGCCTGCCACAAAGAAGTCTTCTATCTTAGGATTGAGGTTTGAATTCCAGTCCTTCAAGCCTCAATTACAGGGGCTGGTTTGACCAGTGCCTGTCCTCCTTTCTTGTCTGACGTGGAGGAAAACAACCTCAGATAAATAGCTGCTTAGCCTCTCCCAACCCCTACCAGCTAAAGCTCGTTCTTGTTCATAGTGGCCTCTAGGAGCCTGGGGCGATCTTCAGAGCCCAGCCAGAAAGCTGAAGTAAGGTCTGTGGGAAGGAAGGGGCGTTTGGAGACCAGTGCTACCGTGTTGGGAGCCTGGGAACAGAGCTCCATCCCAATCCAATACCCTGACCAGACCCATTACACCAAAGAATGTGCTCTGATCCGAGAAGAAGAATAGACAAGGAGCAGTGGGTGACAGGAGCCAGCACCTTGCTGTTTCTTTGGCTTATCTCGTTTCTGCTTGGCACAGGGTTGAAGTGTCTGTCAATAGGATTGTGGCTTTGAGGTGCTTGTTATCTGATGCCACTCCCTCAGCCATACTTGCTCACGGTTGATCAAGCCTACTTGGTCTTCTTGTTTGTCCCCCAAAACCCTCATTCTAGGGTCCTTGGCTGTGAATTAGAGCTTAAAGACTATGCTGGCTATAATCTGGCTAGGGAGCAAATGCTGACTGCCCACCTTTCCCCTTCACCATACCCTATGGTGGACCCCCTCTAGCCTTGCTCATGCTTCTTCTCTCTTTATTGCCACTCCCTGGAGAGATGATCATTAGCCTAGCCTTTGAATATGTCCAAAAATGCCTTTAAATGCCTGGATTGCCGTGCCAAGAGATCTGCCAAGTGGGCTGTACTTTGGGCGCTAGGAGGAATTCTGTATGGACAGCAGCCTACTCCAGAGGGCTTCAAGCTCTGTGCGCAGCACGGCTCAAGTTCTTGAGGGCATAGGGCATGCAGATCCTTTACCTTACTGTGCTATAAGACAACCATTTTGCTTTCCTTAAAGCAGAGGTGAAGATTGGCCTCCCAGATCCTTCTGAGTATGAAACTTTCTCTCCCTGCCTCCTGCCTTGATGTAGAATCAGTCCTCCTTTCTAAAGGCACAAAGTAGGAAGCTCCAAGCAGCTCTTGGTGCCGATGTCTGCTCACGGGACTGACTGGCTCATGGCTAAGTAGAGTAAACTGCCATGGGAATGCTGAAACCAGGGGCAAATTGTGGTAGCCATTATCTGTAAGAAAGCTGAAGGAGTCCAACCAGTGACCCTCACTTTGTTCTTGCCCCCCCTGAAAGAAAGAGGGCCTCCAAGTAGATGTCAGAGAGAGAGAGAGTGTGAGCGTGCGTGTGTGTGTGTGTTCATGCATCCATCCATATCTGTCCTTGTGTCCCTAGTTTCTAGGAAGCTATTTAAAGAGCAGTTACTAATGCCCTTGGCCTCTGGTCGCAGCAGTGTAACAAGCAGCCATCAGGTGACTGTCATCTGCGGCATGTGCTCAGATCAGTGCTCCTCAGTGAGCCCCTAAGTATTCCCAGCTGCTGGAACAACTGCCAGAAATAGTTGTTTCAGGCTTCTCTGTGTGTGTGTGTGTGTGTGTGTATGTGTGTTTCTCTCTCTGTCTGTCTGTCTCTCTCCTTTGAACCACTCATATCCTGCAACTTTGGAAGAAAATACCTACAGGACCCCAAGGACCCTGCATTTCTCTTAATTCCTTTTGTCTCAGCATCTTCATAACTCTCTGTACTGGTCACAGATACATTTGAGCTGGAGAAAATGAAGGAGCGAAAAGGCCAAGTCAATTGAAATGTAAGTTTCTGTGAAGCTGGTGGTCCAGACTCCCAAGTGCCACCTTGAGAAAGTGGTGAGAGCAGCCTGTCTCACCCCAGGCCTTTCCTGTCCTTCAGGTGTCCCCATTCTGCTCAGCTTCCTACGGTCATTCCTGTTCTGTTACCCAGTGTTAGGCCAGTGTTACCCTGGCTGAAATGGAAAGTGAGGGACAGAGAGCCAGGAAGGCAGAGAGACAGCCCCCTGGGGCAGCATTTCTCCCTGGCACAGCATGCCTTGGGAGATAGCTTGGAGACCTCTGTCAGGGCCAGGCAGCTTGCCACTCTGTCCAGTGGCTTCCTTCTTTCTCAGTTTCCTACTCTGCAAACCTGAGAACTCAAAACCAAACCCTTCTCCCAAAGACTCCATGTATAATAGGTGAGTGAGAGAGATTGAGTGCTTGAAGAACTCTCAGCTTTTAGTGGTTTCATCATTAGGCTACCCATTATTATTGTTGTTGTTATTATGTAAAGCGTAGATTCCTGGCACATGCTGGAGTAGTCAGTCCCCATTACGTGCTGCCTGACTATGCCTTGGGAATAGGAAGTGGACACTAGAATTCTCATCTGTTCCTACTCATTTGCTCCAATAGTCTTTCAGGTTAGAGGAGAGACAAAATTTCCTTCCATTACTACTCCTGGAAAGTCAGGAGCAGCTCCTCACCCACAGCATTAGAAGCTAAGGAGTAAGGTCTCTGTCTCAGAGCTGTTCTGGAGATAGAGCTGGGCTATGCATCCCAGTGATTCCCCTGGAGCAGGCTTCAGCCACTAGGAACCACCCTTATGCAGGGAAGTCAGAAGCCCTCAAGAAAGATATTCAGTTCAGTTTCCCTGTGGCAGTATCTTGGTGGAAAGAGATACGGCTTTTTTGTCCTCTGCACCCCATGTCCCTTCCTGTCAGGCTTCCTGAAACCCTGGCTGAGCCTCTGTTTTCCTCAGTTGGCCACGTGGTCCCCATTGCTGCAGGAGTTTTCTTCTCAACTGCTGGTGGAAGAAACCTTGGCTAAATCCCACTCCCTCAGCAGTGCCAAGAACACTTGGCCTCTTCCTTGGTCTCCACTTTTCCCTAGTTGTTGTTGTTATTCTTTCCTTTTGGAAAACAGCTCTATTGCTTTGGAGGAAAAAGGAACCAGAAGAGAGAGACTTAGATTTAAGGTTAAGGGTGTGTGTGTGTGTGTGTGTGTGTGTGTGTGTGTGTGTGTGTGTGTGTGTGTTGTGTGTGTATGCATGCATGTATGTTCATTCCTAGGGCTTAGGGAGGATGCAGCCTTTACTCATTAAGGCTTATAGCCAAGAGATTTGCTCTCAGGCTAGGATTCCTCTGTGTTGCCTGAGAGTGCTACTTCAAGGCCTCTATATCACAAGCTGTCACTATCGTAAAGCCTGAATCTCCTGTGTCCAGGCTGTTCCTGAGGCCCCTTCCTTCTCTCCCTGAGCCTCATCCTAGATACCGGTCACTCCTTGCTACAGAGTGAAGTCCTCAAGTTCCAGTGCCAACAGAGATAACCAGGGCTTACAGTGATCTTCCAGAACTGAAGTGGGGGTGGGGGGTGGGGTGAAGGGAGTGGTGTCCAGGGTGGGGCACCGAAGATGAGAAAGTAGTCCTGGCAGTAAGCCAGAAAAGTTGGGTTTCTCTCACAAACACTGTACCTCTAAGGCACTGGAGTGCAGGTTGTGGGGAGAGGGAAGAGGCTATATGGTATTCTTGCTGCCAGAACAAGAGAGGAAGAATAGCTAAGCACCAAAAGCAGAGCTGGCTTCCTGGGGAGCTCGCCTGGTGAATGCCAGCCCTTCAGCCCAAGCTAGGCGTCTCGCTAGTTGGGGGAATGAAAGGAAGGGCTCTGGTTGATAGAGGCACTTTGGGTCCTTAGAAGGGGGTTGCTCCAGCAATCAAATGGGCTGTTGCATTCCAGATTTTCCAGTTGGGACTGCTTACCACGCCACTGATACTGAGCTCTCCTAAATATTAGAGAAACTTCAGCTAACTCACAGATGTTCTCTTTGGAGCCATCTGCCTGCCTCCGTGCATCCCAGCTGAGGCCTGCAGAGGCTGAGCTGATCCCAGGACTTGCTCCTGTCTGTACCTTAGCAAAGCAAAGTGGGGGTCGAAAAATGGAGGAATCATCCCTCCCAAGCAGTGCTTCAAGCTTTTTACCTTTTCCCAGGCCAGCACTCAAGATGTTAACTAAAAAAAGGAGACCTCTAATCCGCAGGAGTTGGAGCCATTAGTGGGACTAGATGAATAGTCTGAAGTGTCCCTGTAGCACTGATCCTCAACATTCTTTGGCAGCCTCCCGTACTCTCCCTCTCTGAAGGGCACCTTGTCATACCCCCAGCCTGCCGTCAGCACCGCCGAACTCCTGGCTCTGTGTTGTAACTGCCTCTCCCCAGGATGCCTTTGAGGACTGAGAAGCGTGCCCGCCTAGCCTTACCCCAGGAGAGTCCCCAGCTCCTTTCTGCCGCCTCGTCTTCACTTCATCTCTGGCTTCTCTCTCTCAGCTGCATTTCCCTCAGATCCGCTCTGAGGAGCTCTTTTCTGCTGCTGACAGCCAGCTGCTCTCTCTGCCTTGGCTTTTTTGTTGTTGGTTGTCCAGGAGATGTGAAGTTTCAGATTACAGGGGAAGGGGGAGGGAAGGAGGCAGAGCCAGCTGGTGGTGGCTACTCCCCCAGCACAGGCATCTCACACTTGCTGGGAATTTGTCTAACAGCTTGGGAGAAATAATTTGGATTTTACATTTCATTTACTTGGATCCACAGCCTTTCTGGGTTGGGGGAGGGGGGAATAAAAGAAAGGAGGGGTTGGGGGGGAGAGGGAGGGAGAAGAACTCCCTCTCTTCTCCTTCACTGTTTCCCTTGCCCATTTTTTGGTGAGCTGTTCTGGGGTCTGGCTGGGCCTGCCCATTTTGGGGATGTTGACTTGAATGGCTTTACTCTGATTAGATCAAGGCAGTTCCTAGAATTCTCTAGCTAAAGACAACCCAAGGGATTTCACCTAAGATTGGGGGTGGGAAAAGAAATAATCCACCTAAGACAACAGGCTCCGCCTGGGGACGGGTTTTAGTTCTCCATCTCTTGCCAGACCCCCTTCTTCCTACCTTCTTTCTCCAGCTTGCCCCCCTCCCTTTCAGGCCACTCTTGTAGGAAAGTAAGAAGGTTAGAGAGTAAGCAGATCACTGAGACCACCCAGACTGAATCTGTTTTCTTGTTTCTCCAAAGCAGTTTATCCTCACGGATCTGTGGGAAAGACCTCCTTTTAGCCCTTCTGATCACTCAGGATTAAAAGACATGAGTGAAAATCTGGACAATATAACCTCCACATTTTCATCTAACCCTAAGATTATTCAAATGGGTAAATAGAGCTGTGATTCAGAATGTCCCTGCAATGGGAGAGAAATGGGTAGTTTCCTTGGTAGCTTGACTGGAAACAGCAGCTTACCATAGTGTGTAACCATAATAATAGAGGGATTAGTGCCCAGCAGAGGCCTTTCTATTTGGTTTTATCAGATCAGGCCTAGAATCCTTAGTGGCTTCTCCAAGCTACTAGTGACTTCTTCTTATCCCTAACCCTGAATTCAAGAGCAAAAAACCAGTTTTTGTGGGGGGTTTTCTCTCAGGTCTAAGCAGGGCTAAGGAAATTTCCATTGTATCTAGTGGGGCCCACTGTCCTACATTCCTATCTCCTTGTCCTCATCACCCACCCCCACTCTCAAGGGTGAGGCCTTTTGAACTGAGTGGATGGAGCCTTTTGACATTTGGCTGTCATGCCACAGTGGCAGGCCAAGCAATCCCCGGGTTAAAGAGAGGAATTGAACGTGGCTCCACTCCGTCCAGCTGTCAAAGGGACCCTTTTTCTGAATACAAAACCCTAGTGAGTCAGAGCTCAGTGGTGATGGGAGTGGTGGAGACAGGCTTCTTTGTGGAAATACCGCTCAGCCACTAGGGCTCTAGAGAGAGCAGCATAGTCACCCCACTGTCCAGAAAACTCTCACCTGTGATGGGGCAGAGACCTGGAGTATATACAGCCATGCACATAGCAGCAGCCTAGCAGCTCTCTGTTCTCCCTTCTTTGTCTTCATCACTATATTGTCTGGAAGCAAAGTGATAGCCTAGAATTATATTCCTAAAGTCCAACAATGGCTTTTTTATTAAAAAAAAATTTCAGTGAACAAAAATTGGCTTTGTCTCCTTCTTGTCTTTCTCCTTTGGGGAAAAAAAAAAAGAAAGAAAGAAAAATTACTGCTTTGGCCACGTCCAAAAAGCAAATGTTTCGTTTTCTTCCCAGAGTCTGTCACCTCTCTGACAGGAGATGGGTAGTAGGTTTTATCATTAGTTCTGTGAAATTGTGATTGATCATTGCATCAATCAGAGTTCTGAAATTTTTTAAAGTTGTCTGTGTTTACAGTGTTGTCATTATTATATGAATTGTTCCCCTGGCGTTACTCATTTCAGTCTGCATCAGTTCATAACACCCAGGATTCTCTTAAACGGTGCCTTTTCTCATTTCTTATGGCACAATAGAATTCTATTACATTCATATGTCATAATTTGTTCAGCCATTCTTCAGTCAGTGAGCACCCCTTAATTTCCTGTTCTTTGCCACCACAAAAAGAACTGCAATGAATAGTATTGTCCATATGGATCCTTTTCCTCTTTCCTTAATCTCCTTGGGGATAGGCCTAAGAGTGGTATCCCTGGGTGAAAGGGTATGCACAGTTTCGTAACATTTTGGGCCATAGTTCACTTGCTTTCCAGAATGTCAGGACCAGTTCCCAGCTCCCCTAAGAGTGCATTAATGTTTTTCAACAGTGGCTCTTTTGAAAGACAGGGTATATGTCCCCTTTCCCAGGCCTCTGCGTGTGTCCCAAAGATTGGCTCCCCATTCCTAAGTCAGAATCTGAGGATCCGTTGGGGAAATAGGGCCTTATTCCAGAAGTTAAAGAAACCTTTATCTGTTTGCAGCAGGATAGCCAAGGGGTGTAGGGTCAAGGCCTTAGATGGTAAAAGGTTTTGGAGAGGGAGGCAGTCCAGGGGTGTTGCTGGTATTCAGAAGGCCCCCTTTTCCCTGCCCCTAAAGTTTACTTACGTGTTTGTAAAGCAGCTGTTCAAAACTACCTAAACAAACACACACACACACACACCCCAGAGTTGATTGTTTTTGAATTAACTTGTTTCTATTGCTTTGAGTGACACTTAATGGAGTGGCATATGCAGACCTTGCCCTAGTGGGATTGGACTGAAGCTCTTAGAACCCACATTCCTGAAAAATGCAAATGGTATAGGTTATCCCTGGGCATATATCCTTGCTGTGTGTTTCTAGAAAGCCCCAAGGCTGGGTTACTTTGAGTTCCTCAAGTCTCTATACATTGGCACTTTGCTCCCAGCCCTTCCTACCTGGGTACTTCATTGAAAAAATGTCCCTTGGCATTTCTTTTATACTGCTTTGTATTAGAGCCCTCTGTGTGCAAAATTACAAACCCTTGCAAGGCAGGAATGATGTCTCATTAATCTTTGCTCCCCTTCATAGTAGCTTGCGTACTCGATACATATTTTTCAAATGCATAAATGACCCTTCTCTAGGGGGTTTCCCATTAGATTCCACATATATCTTTCACGATATGACATTCGACTTGCTGAGGTACAGCTCAGATTCCCCCCCTCTCCTCAATCTTTACCTTTGATACCTGTTCCAGGTGCCGCCATGCTGCCATTGCCAGGTACTTTGGGGATGCACCCCCTCCTTGCTCCAAAGGCTGTGACCACTGCAAGAACCCTGGGGCTGTTAGGAAGCAGCTGGATGCCTTGGAGAGCAGCAGCAGCTGGAGTAAGACACAGATCAGAAGCTCTCGTGGGAATGGCTCTGACTCAGAGCTGTACGAGGGTGGCCGTAGGGGATACGACGGCTTTGGCAGGTAAGGGAGCTTGGTAGCCCTCAGGCAGTGGAGGGAGAAGGGGACTATCCTAGCCCACGTTGAGGGAGCTCCGTCCTTTTTTCTTGGTGTTGGTGGCCCAGGCCAGGGTTCTTCCAGTCCTCTTTGTAACTGACCATGCTGGGCAGTACTTGCAGTCTCGTGTTGCTGTGAGTAGCCTGGGCCTTGGACTGGCTTGTTGGGGGATACCCTTGCCAGGTGACCACAGGATTGGTGTGAGGAAGGTGGAGGAAGCAAGCTTGGGACTGGGGATTCTCACTCCCAGCTTGACGTTCAGATACGATGAGGACTCGGGAAGCAGTGGAACCCAGGGCAATGATGGAGCCGAGGGCAACGATGAAGCCCAGAAGCGAGAATGGAACCTTTTCTATCGGACTCAGATGAACCTTCGGAAGGTAAAGATTGGGGGTTTGGTGTGGAGAAAGGTCCCACTTAACTGGCTCTTGTCACCCTAACTTGGTAGTACAGGGTACTGCCCTGAAATGAAGGCAATAACATTTTTACTATGTGCTAAGCACTGGAGATATAAATACTAAAAAGAGAATACAGTTCTTGCCTTCAGGGAGTTTACATTCTAATAGAGGAACAGTGGCTAAAGGAAGACTGTCTTGTTTGAGAAAGTTACAGGGATAGTGAATGGAACCATTTGACTCCATTGAGCCAACTGACACACCCTTTCCAGTAACCAAGATAGTATTGACTTGATTCCAAACTAGATAGGAAGAAAGGGACAGTGGATGATATTTCTGTGGTAGCAAGATGGCTGCCAAGTAGATGTCAAGAGAAATTAAATGAAGTGTGGTGGGGGCCCCTGGGAGAAGGTGAGCCAGCCACAGAGGCACTCGGCCAATCAGGACTACCCTTCCCCTCTCCCTTCCAGAATTGAAAGGGTTAAGTCACCCAGGGCATGACCTTCAGCCCGAAGAGAAACCTATTGCCCTTCTGACCTCCCATCCCTTCTTCAGTCGCCAGGTTAGGAGCTGCCCCTTGTTAGGCTAAGGGTACAGGAGGGCTTGATCTGCTCACCGTGTCTTTCCATAGGGTAAAGAACCCAAGAAAGAGGAATTCATCCCCCCAGGTGGGTGTGTGAGTGGCCCCAGAGCTGGGTAAGTAGGGAACTCAGGGGAGAGGCTGTGAAGGACCAGGAACCACAGGGCTTGGGTCATGGGCAACGGTAAGAGAGCCTGTTTCCTCCAGACCCATCCATTCCTTCTCCAGATGATGACTGTCCTCTGAAGGAGGCCTCCAGCAGGAAGATTCCCCGGCTTACTGTGAAGGTAAGGAAATATGCCTGCCTTTCTGGGCTCCCCTACCTACCTGCCTGGAGTTGTCTGACTCTCCCTTTCCCCTGGTTCTTGGGTATCAGGCTCGGGAACACTGTTTGAAGCTGTTGGAGGAGGCCCTGAGCAGCAACCTACAAACAGTTTGTACGACAGAGAGGTAGGGTTCGTAATAATAAGAATAATAGCCACCTGTACTATTGCTGTAGTGCTTTATATTCAGCTTATAGGGAGGTTAAGGTAGGAAAGCCATATGTTCCTAAATGTTAAGTCTGTGGTATCCAGGGACTAACCATGTTCTCTCCCCAAAAAGCCATTCACATCAGGCTCAGATTCCTCAGCCACCAATCCGTGAAGCTGTCTCCACTTCCACCAAGTTGTGAAAAATATCCTAAGTAATGTTTATTTCCCAATTGCTCCACTAGGGGGAGGCCTTGACTAAAGTTGGGCTACTTGAAAGAGCCAGCCCTGTGAGCAGAGAAAAGAAGCCAAGGATGCCCTGACTCTGCGGGGGCCCTGCCTGGGATCTCCCATTCTCACCTGCCCCTTTGGCCTGTCCCAGATACCAGATTTACTCAGCCCGTGTTCAGGACATTTGCTTCATCCTCTGTCCCTCTCCTGTTTTGTTCTACATTTGCCTGGAGGCCTTTTAGAGACCTCACCTGTAGACAACCCAGCAGTGACCTTCTATAGAGGAAGTTCAAGGACTAGCCATGACCCTCTGCTGCACATATATGCAGGGCGTGGTTCAGGATGGAGGGGGCCAGTGTAGAGACCTCTCCTGGTCATAGTCCTAGGGGTAGTGTTCCAACAGGATTTATGCTATAAGGGGACTTGGGAGCTGGCCACAACGCTCCCTAACACGTCCACACTCACAGGACTGACCAGCAGGCCCGTGCAGTGGAGCTGGAGTATGAGGCGTTCCGAAGTACCAAGATGGCCAATCTGTACAAGGCCAGTGTGTTGAAAAAGGTAGGGAATTCAGTGAAGGAAGTGGGACCCTGGGGAAGAGGAAGAATATCTGGTTTAGCTCTGAGCCTCCCTTCGAGGTCCCTAACCCCCGGACAGATGGAACCCCCTCCTCACAAGGTCGTCTCTGTCCTTTGCTGACATCACCTCTGCCTTGTGAGCAGCAGGGCTTGAGCAGAGTGCCCATGTAGACCACTCTCTCCACCAGATGGCATCTTGAGAGATCAGCTGGGGTTTTGGGCCCCTTGATTCCAAGAAGAAGATTGGATTGGTTCGCGGTGTCCTCTGCTCAGCTCTGCTTTCTTGATCCCAAGGTGGCGGAGATCCACAAAGCCTCCAACGATGGGAAACTCTACCCTTTTGGGGATGGTGGGGACCAGAACTGTGGGGCCCAGGCTGTGCTGCCTGAAGAAGACATCCGACCAGCCTCTCAAGTGTATTCAGTGAGTTGGGGGGTGAGGGGGACGGACAGTGAGGTGCAGAGGGTGCCACGTCTGGTTTTGATAGGCTTCACAGTGCTGAGTCAGAAACAGATCTGTCTATGGGACTACTCAGCATATGCTTTGCTAACAAAGGAAAAAATTCATCCCCTTCTCCTGACATCACCCATTCTCAGCTGAGGCATCCCAGGGTACCTTATTTATCAGCTTCTGAGCTGCCTCTGTCTTTTTCTTGGGACATTCCAACCCTAATTCCTTGGGCCCTGGTAAGGAAAGGATTCCATTCCTGCAAGAGGTGCTGCCTCTGCTTCCGAAGTGGCACAGAGATGCCTTCTTTCCTTGCTTCTTCTACAGTGTTTCCTTCTCCCCCAGAAGGGAAAAACCTAATAGGGCCGTGGCGGGTGGGGCCAGCTAGCAGGTTGGGTGGGAATCTAGTCAAGACCCCTCCATCATCTTTTTTCCCTAGTTCAAACCAAAGCGGAAAGGAGCTGGCTTCCGGACAGGCTCGGAGCCCTTCCAGACAGCCGCTGAGCTCTGGCAGAGGTCCCTGGCTGAGGAGCACGTGCCACCTGTTCGGCCAGAAGGAGAGCAGGCTGGCCCAAGAGAGACCTCACAGCCTGAAAAGAAGGCAGACCCCTTCCCAGAGCAGAGAGTTCTTGGAGGAGGCCTTGAGAGAAGTGGACCATTGCCTGAAAAGAAGGCTGAAAGATTCCCTGGGGAACAGCCTGTCATGAAGTCTCAGGCCAGCAAGAAACAGCAGTTGCTGGCCGATGCAGCAAAGAATTCTCAGGAGATAACCTGCTTCTTCTCCCACCGAAGGGCAAAGAGCCTACCCCTACCTGGCCCATTGCCCTTGCAAATGGTGGACTTTGGTCCCTCTCCTGAAGAGACTCAAGAACCAGAGTTAGCCCTGGGAAAGAGTATAATGGAGGAGGACAGAGCCCTAAGGCATTTGTCTGCCCTGAGCCAGGCAGAGACCACTGAAGAGCTGGAATCGAGGTGAGCAGGCTCTGGACAGCAAAGGCTGGGGTTAGAGACCTCCAAAAAACACTAAGAGTAGACTCAGCTTCACTTCCTGAGCAGGAGTGAAGAGTGGATGAAGCTACTCACAGTGACTGGGTTTGAGCTACTTGGGAGTGGGTGGGAGGAGAGGGCAACTTTTACCCAGCCCTAAACAGAGGCTGCTAAGCTTTAGGGAGGAACTTCTGGAAAGGACCAGGACACCTACTTTCTTCTTCCCATCCTCCCCACTCAGTCTCAAGGTCAGATGTGAAGTCCGGCCCCTCCCCCCAGAGGACACCCAGCCACGGAAACGGTCCAGATCCCATCAGGTATCTTTCTAGAACTCGGTCTTTCCTGCCCAAGACAGGCTGGGGCAGGGAGCATGGGGGAAGGGGTCGGCTGCTTCCTGATTCCAAGCTAGAAGCTAGCTGGAGGGTCTTTGGTGGGTCTGCTAGAACTCTTTAGAAGTAATTTAAGGCCCCCAAGCTGGTTGTGCTTCTGTCCTGGAGGAGCAAGGGAGAGCTTAGCTCAGGTCTGATTCTTAGCTGGGGAGGAAATGGAACCTAGAGTTGACAAGTCCACTGTGGTTATGCCCAGGGGATTCCAGAGGACCAAACTCAGAAGAGGCCTCGACCCACATCCAAACCCTCCATCTTGATACCACCAGAGGCTAAGGTCAGCAGCTCTTCCAAAAAAGATGTGAGTTTTGACCAGAGTATAGAGAACCAAGGCCCTGATCGGCTTCTAGACCCAAGACCAAAGACCCCTGGTGTTTCTCTGAAGGAAGCTGCAGACATTGTAGTCAAGTACCTAACCCCTTTCTACAAGGATGGCAAGTTTGCTTCCAAGGTAGGGTATGTAAGCCCCTTCCTACCCCAGTACCCATTGTCGATTGCCTTTTAGCACTTGGGGGTTAGGACCAAGAGGCACAGGGAGATGGAAAACAGTCAGCCACTGAGGGTAGGGCAGCTTCCCCCTGCCGTTGGTAATTAGCATTATTAATATTATTGTCAGGGATGGCAAGGGATGCTACTCTTCCTTGAGGTCTGTCCCTCGTACCAGGCTAAATGCAGGGAGCTGTCCCCAGAGGAGAAGTTGCTAAGTGGTTTGGGTAGATAACACAGCTTAACTACCTTCTTCTCTGTCTTTGGACTTCCCAGGAATTATTTAAGGGGTTTGCCCGACACCTTTCGCACTTGTTGGCCCGGAAGACGCCTCCACGGGGGAGTGGTGAGTGCCCTGGACCTTGCTTTGGGGGACTAAGGGGAAGCGCCTTGAGGGAAGACAACAGGGCCTTATCCTTACTCCTATTTGCAGTGAAAGAAGAGGCCCAGAAGCTCATCAAGCAGTTTTTTCAAAGCCGGACCAGCTGTGAAAATGAAAGTGACTGGCTGGACCTGCCTGACCCAGGTCAGAGATAGCTGATGTTGGGGAGGAGGAGAGGACTGGTGTCGCACTGGAGAGGCCACAGTGTCTGCTGAGAGCACAGGCTCCTTCCTGGCTCCTGCCCCGAGAAGCCACCAGTGACTTTACTTCACCCCGTGCCAAGCCAGCTTACGGGACACTAGCTCTGCACCATGAGCTCATGGCTTTGGAGAATTGGGGTTGGGGGCAGAATCAGGATGGGAATCTTGCTGCAGCTACTGCTGCTAGGGAAGAGCTTCCCCCTCTTCCAGGTCTGCCTATGCAAGAACCTTACTTTAGGGGGCCTGTTGTGAATACCTCCATCCCTCAGGGCCGAGGCTAGAGCTCAGCCCCTACCCTCCTACATGTAAAGCTACAAGTCTCATCCATAATTGCTGCTTCCTCATTCTTGTGGCTGGGCTTTATTGGTTGGCTCCCTAGAAGAAGGGGCTATCTCTGAGGGCTTCCTGCAGGAGGAGGAGGAGGGAATTTGGAGGATGCCTCCACTCTGTACTTTTTAATATGTTGGTGGTATGTCTGGTGTTCCCACGTTTCTACGTTCATCTCCTCCACCTCCCTTGAAGCTGTATCTACCAACTTGGCCTCCAGGGTACATGTATGAAACCCTGGGACCCTCTCAGAAGCCATACTTGTCCCAGACCCATCTGCTAGGGCCAGGATGGCCAATGTTTACAAATTGGAATAAAACTCTTTATTCTGGTCGGGCTCAGTTCTGCTCCCCAGACTCCAGGCTGTTCTTGGTTCTAGTCCTCTCATTCATATTGATGAGACACTTTGATTGTTTGAGGTTTTATTTTCTCTGCCATCTGTCCACACCAGGCCTGGGGCTGGACCTGGGTAAGGATGAGCAGGAAGTAGGTCCTGCACCCTGATGGCACCAAGAGCATACAGGATTTAGCTGCTTGAGCTGAGCACGTGCTGCCTAATTCCTGCCTGCAGCTCAGCCCCAGCCACAAAGGGAGGTGTCATCCTCATACCCAGGACCCCCATGCTCTTCTGCCCCCGCTTGGAGCAGGGGCAGCAACACCAGGAAACGTTAGCTCACCAACAGGAGGAGATTGCTGAGGGTAGGAGTGTGGAGGAGAGGGAAGAGGAGAAAAACGGTCTTTGTCTCCCCACTCCTACCCCATTCAACTTGGAATGAACTGGGCCAGGCTAGGTAGAGGTACTGTACTCCATTAAGAAGACAAGGATGTGCCGTAACTCCTGGGCCTGTCAGAGCAAAGTGGACGTTAGTGGGGGCTCCCTTCTGGATGAGTCTGGGCTGAGGGTGGAGATGGATCATTGACTTGTTAGCTGTCCTCCTGACAGCAGGATGACAACCAGAGGGCTCTCACCTGGGGCAACTCGAACCAGATGGTCTTGGGGCTGGCAGAAGACCCATAGTAGAGCTCCAACCCTGCGGTGTCGTCCAGGGGACCGAGCTGACGTAGTTTCTGTATGGCCTTCAGAGGGATGGAATAGCATTGTTCCTGTGGTGGGGGAGGACGTGGAAGAGGGAGTGATTCGCTCTGGGAATGGCATGGCAGGCCAGGAAGAGGAGTTATTCTCTAGATCTTTGTGGAGATCAGAGTAGCAAGATGAAGAAGGATTTGACAGGCAAGAGCCCAGGAGTGGAGGGCAGTTTTATGGGTGAGGTGAGGGCAGACCTGAGAAAAGGTGGAGGTGAGAAGGGAAGGAGAATCACGCTCACCTGAGAAGTAGGATCCACCAAGATGAGGTGTTGATGGTTGAGGCCCAGTAAGCACGGGGTGATGATTATTGGCTCACTCACCCGCAGTACGCTGTACACGGTGTATCCAAAGAGAGGAAGGTGTTTCATAGCCTCTGGAGGCAAACAACAAGGATGGGGGATTAACAAACATGTCAGTGAATTGTCTCACTGTTCAAACACTGCTAATGCCTGCTCCACCTACTTGCAATGGAGCTTGAGTATAAAGAGCATAGAAGGAGTTTGTGAGCCAGGATATGACCCCTGGGCCCACGTGGTAGGATGGGTAGAGAATATCATTGGGTGGGGAAAGTGGGTGACTAGGAACCCATAGTCTATCCCGGCAGACTTGTAAGCAGGGCCAAGTATAGGGTGTGGGGAAGAACTGGTGAATCTGGTGGGTTCCTCAACAGCTCCCTCAGCCTGTTCATCGCTAGCACCATCCTGTTCCCATTCCTTCTTGAAACCCCTACTGTTTATTGTCCATCCCCCCTCAAAGAAGGTAGCTCACCAATGAAGCTGATATGTACTTCTCTGCGGCTATATCTCTTCAAGGCCATCAGCTGGCTCTTCACCAAATTCCCTAAGATCTGCAAATTTACCTGCAGCTGTAGTGGCTGTGGGACGTATCTCAGCAGGTCCTGCCTGAGAGACATGTGGGTGTTGAGACTGGCCCTGCCTGAATGCCAGGCCAACTATGTCTAGACCTACAAGTGTTGGAGGGCATGGGGCAGACAAGAGGGGAGGCTTAAAGGGAAGTGATGGGAAAGATGGATTCATGGAGTATGGAAGGAGAGGCTGGCATTGGGTATGGCACCCCTGATGGAAACAGGCCCACCCCTTGCCCTTTTGCGCTCATACTCAGAAGGCAGATAGCTGATCTCTCTGCTTAGGTGCTGCAGGGCCACCAGAGGAGCTAGTAGAGCTTCAACTTGGGGTTGGGTGCTAATCAACAGCTTTCCCTGCAAGTAATCCCGATGTACCTGAGGGAGTAGGGCAAATGAGGGCGAGCCAGAGTCAGGTCCCGGAGCACCTGCTCCTGATGACTTCCTGGCACCCAAATGCATCCCTCTACTTCTGCTTCGAGTTCTCATCCATCCCTCCTGTCTGACCCCTACTCATCCCTCACCATCCGTTTCCCCCTAGCTCAGGGAGAACTAGAGGTGAGGCTGCCTTGGGATCGGGCCAGGGGCTGACCTGGCCATAGTGTGTGCTGACGTAGACTTCATTTTCATAATGCAGTGGGGTGTCCCAGGTGAGCCGGCGGCTATGCAACTCCACATCAGTTTCCCGCATCACATTGTTGAGGTACTCGTTGCGGTGCAGAGGCCTCACTAGTACACCTGCCGAAAATGGTCCAGAGATGCTCACAGTCTGGCCTTCCTATCCCAGAGCCTAGGGCCTCGGAGAGCCCTTCATGTAAACAGTGCAGCACTCATCTAAAAGCTACCACTCCCCTTGCTTAAAGCATGGAATCGAGTCTTCCCAGCATCCACACAAAGGCAACCTTTTGCTGCTCCATCCATGTCACCTACAGATCTCCCTTGAGAAGGATTCAACTGGTCCCATGCAGTGGTCCCCACCTCACCTTTTCCCTTGATGAGGAAGATGGCAAACTCTTGCATCTCCAGGGGCTCTCTGATGCCCATCTGTCTGCATACCTCCTCCAGCACTTCTGCCACTACCTGGTGTGTGGGTGAGGTCGTAAGTGAAGAGGGAAAAGGGCTCCACTCCCCACAATTTCCATTGTTAACCTCCTGCGACTTACTGTAAAGGTCTGGATGATAGTCTTGTATGCCATCCCTCCAGGTAGGTGGAGCAACAGTGGTCGGATGGTCTGCCCCTTCTGCCAAGGAAAATTAGAGTGAGACTGTATAGTGGTGATTAGGCAAACCTACAGGGACAGTGACCCTAGGCCCCTTCCTCTCCCACAGAGGACACTCAGAATGATCTCCCTCCCAGACCGAGTACCAGGAAGGCTTTCATCTCGCCTATAGTGGGCAGGTGCTGGCGGCCTCCGTATTTGACTGTGTGTTGTAAATGTTCTTCGCATGTCTGGGCCAGCTCTGTGTAGAGATGGGGAGGTCAAGACTGAGATCATAAACTACCTCTTGTCTTCTCCCCACCAAAGAAGGTCTTCTCTGGCACTTTGGGTTTTTTTTTTTAACCATCTCCTTTACCGCATCCCTTCTCTCCCCCAACCCCAGCCCCAACAAGCTACCTTGATTGAGGGCAGCATCCTGCAGATACTTAATGACATAGGGCATGAGGGTGGATGAGGGGAGGAAGTAACCAGTGAGGAGGTTAAGGAGGTACCATCCCCGAATGCAGTGTTCCCTGAAAGGCAGAGATCAAAACAGCCTGGATCATCTCTAGCTTCCCCCAAACCCTGCCGTTTTCCTGTGTCCCAACTTCCGCCTTTTCACAACACTCACTGTTGGGGGTTCTCTGTGACCTGTTTGATGAGCTGGCAGTAAATTTCATCTTTCAGGTTGTTTTCCCGGCACAGCTATGGGAATAGGAATTTAGTTTCCAGAGAGTTGAGGACTTGTATCAGGACAGAAAGGTTGGGGAAGGGGGAGGGTGCAGATCCTGGGATTGGGGATAGGAAGGCAGAAATCAGAAAAGGGGACAGCGTAATGGTCATGGGGCATAGGATTCAATTCAGGTCCTTGGGCATGGCAGCATTAGGTGCTCAAGGGCTCTGCTGTGTCCCTGGACTTCTTGCTCCAGTACTCACCTGCAGCATCTCAAATGGTATATCCAAGTCATCTTTCTTCTTGGGCTGATCACCCATAAATTGCATCACAGCTGCAGAGCAAAAGTGAGAGAATAGATAGGTAGAGAGAGCTAGGTGGGTGTGCTGGGGAGAGACTAGGTAGGGGTACCTTGAGTTCCAGGTCCAGATAGGAGTAACTAAGAGCCATGGGAACCCATGCACATTGGTAATACTGTGGTAGGCAGGGAGTAGAGACCCAAGGAAGAAAGGAGTGGAGTCCTGGTCCTAGACACCCCGGAGCACAAATCCAGCATCACAGTATCTGTGATGCTGCCAGCTAATGAATACATTTGCCCAAGCTATGCCCACAACAGTCAGAGATGACTTACCCCTGAAGTTCTGCACAGCTAGCTTGTTCAGCTCCTCAGAGGTTAAGTTGGTAAGAGATTTCTGGATGGGAGTCTGAGGGTGAGAGTTGTTTGGGCAGTGAGCATGGGGCAGTAGTCCAGAAAGGCAACAGACTGTAGAGTCTGAATCTGTCCACCTTCCATGCCAGTTGTCTGAAAGGGATCACTCAGGAAGGGGATAAGTTCCCTCTCACCCCTGACCCTTTACCTTGGTATGTTGCACCAGGCTTCTGGCATGATGTTTTGACACCATCTGGCCCTCCCTAGATTAAAGACAAGGCCTAGTTAAGTCTTCACAGGGAGAAGACTGACTAAGGACTAGTCAGAGGCCTTGGGGGTTGGGGGAAATCAGGCACCCTCTCTTTGTTCGTGCTGTTTGGAGTTAGGTGGGCAGATGAATTTGGGTAGAGGATCATGACCAACCCACAGAGACAGCCACAGAGTCTTCACGTGGGTATGGATCCCACTTAGACTCTGGGCACTTACGAGGTCTTTATCGGCCGGAAGTACTTCTGGGCGTACTCCCACATGGCGTAAGTGCTGGTAGTAGTAGACAGAGTGGAGCTGACATCCAAGAAGACAGAGCTGGTCACCACAGAGGACTCACTGGGTGCCTGGGTGTGGGTGTGTTCACACTGAAGGTAGAGGAAACCCGGTGTCAACGCAGTCACTACAATTGACCTGTTCTGCTGGTTGGTCTCTAGAGGTGGTTCTCTGTTTCTGAGCACCAGAATCATGTTTGTCTATGTCCCCATCCTACCCCACAGGATAACTAGGCGGGTGCCTGAAGTGCAGCCACATAGGGTACACCATCAGAAATCAGTCAAGCCAAAGAAGCTTTTATTGAGCAACTCCCTGGCACCATGCCAGGCTCTGTGCAAGACACAAGAGAAGCAGGCCAACAGTTTCCCTGCTCTCAGGGAGCGTACAGTCTGGTTGGTGAGTTAAGACGCAGGGAACAGAACACTAGGAAGCGTTTGATAACCAAGGGTTCAGCTACATTTATCTTCTGATAAAATACTGTTGAATCAGATACAAAGGGCTTAGCTTTGTTCCAGCCCACCCTGTACAAGCAGTCACAAATCCCACTCCCCAACTGCAATGTGGTCATCCTGCTACTTGAGGGCAGGGATTATGTCTTCCAATTCCTTCCCTATGTCTTGGGGCACCAAGCCCTGGTCTCTACACAGAGTAGGTGTGGGCTTAGTCAATCTCAGCTTACTTGGAGCTGTATGATTTTTTTCCCCCAGGTGAGTCAAGAGAGAGAAGAAAAGATTGATTCCTTTTCCCAGGACTTGATTTTGTGAATTCAGGCCAAGATAGTCTCAAGAGAAGAGGGTGGTGTTCATAGTGCTGGCACAGTTCAGGAATTGCTAGTTATGCCTCAGCCTGGCAGTTCCTCCAAACTCCCTCACCTCCGTGGCCCAGTGCTGTGGAGACAATCTTGTTTCTCCTCTTGGAAGACTCCTTTGCCACCCATCCTTCTGTTCCTTGGGGAAGGTGAAGTAGTCAGGCACAGCAGCCACTTTCACCGTGTTGGAAGGAAAGAGCCCAGATCGACCCCCGATGGAGCCAAATTGCCACCCTGCAAGTGTCAAATGGAAGTAGTGCTGAGGCTAGAGCAGAGGCTCTGATGCCAAGCCTGCGTTCTGGCCCTGAATGCCACCCAATTCACTCGACCAGCCAAAGGACTGGTGCCACCTCCAGCTCCTGTCCTCAGCCCGCATGGTCTAAGTATCCTCCCCTCCGTTCCAGTGAACACAGATAATATCCTTCCCAGTGCTGTGCATTGGGCAGCTAGGTGGCACAGTGGATAGAATGCCAGGCTTGAAGACTCATCTTCCTGAGTTCAAATCTGGCCTCAGACACTAATTGTGTGACCCTGGGCAAGTCACTTAACCCTGTTTGCCTCAGTTTCTTCATCTGTAAAATGAGCTGGAGAAGAAAATAGCAAACCACCTCAGTATCTTTGCCAAGAAAACCCCAAACAGGGTCACAAAATGTCACACACAAGGAAAAAGCAACCAAACAAAAACATACTCTGCATCCAGGGAGGGCACATCAATGTATACCTGGCTCTAGGGAGGCCATGGGCAGCAACTTAATGATATCTCCACAGCGGAAGCTCAGGAGGCTTCGGTCATCAGTGACATAGCTCTGGAGGGCAATAACATAGCTTGAGTCCTGTGGAGGGAGAAGCAGATGGAGTAAAGGAATGCCTCCTCTGCCTGACTGCTCCCTCAGCCTTGTGCTTCAGTCTTCACCTCCAGTTCTTAGTCTCTCAGTCCCCTCAAAGCTCAACTCAAGCGTCCCACATGAGGCCTTCCGCTAGCTTTTGGTGCTACCCTCCTGAAATCACCTTGTACTTACTTTAAAAATATGCTTAAATTTTGCATATATTTGTAAGGGCACAGGTTGTTCCCTGGCCCCTTCTCCCTGCCAAAAAAGGTAAGCCCTTGAAGGGCAGAAGGACTGGTCTCAATTAGTTTTCTTTGTGTCCTCAGCCCCTAGCACAGGGCCTGGCCAATCAAGTCAGGTCAGTAAGCATTTAAGGGCTTACTGTGTGCCAGGCAATGTGCTGTGCACTAGGGATGCAAAGGCAAAAGACAGTCCCTGCTCTCAAGGAGTTCACAGTCTAATGGAGGAGATGACATGGAAGCAACTAAGTATAAACAAGCTATACGAGATAAATTAGAAATAGTCAACAGAGGCGAGACACAACAGAGCGACCAGGAAAGGATCCTGGTATGTAGGAGGTGCCTAATTAGTACCTGATTCTGCCCACCCCACCCCTGCCCTATTCTCCATGCCAAAGATCCACTTGCTTAGGTCTTTTTCTCCTTCCCTTGTTTGGAGTCGTACCATAGAATCACAGGAGCTATGAATTGGAAGGTCCCTCAAACGGCCATCTGATCTAGCCCATACCGGAGAAAGAGTCCCAGCTTCAGTATACCACACAGGTGATCATGCAGCCTTTGCTTAAAAACCTCCAGTGAGAGAGGACCCATCACCTCCTCGGGCAGCCCATTTCATTTTGAATAGCTCTGTTGGTTATGTGGGGCAGCTAGGTGGTGCAATGGATAGAACATCCCAGCTGGAGCCAGGAAGATCTGAGTCTGGCTTCAGACTGTTGTTAAGTGTGTGACCCTGGGCAGGTCACTTAAGCTGTTTGCCTCAGTTCCTCATCTGTAAAATGGGGACACACTGGGGAAGGAAATGGCAAACCAGTCCAGTATCTTTGCCAAGAAAACATAGTCGGACTGAATGACTGAACAACTTGTTAGGAAGTTTTTTCTTATACTGCTGCTCCTGTGACATTATGCTTTACCATTCTTAATTAGTATTAAATGTCTAGAGACTAGGCCCTGGAAGACCTTTGGAACTTTCACATTGGAGCTCAGCTGTCCTGAGTAATGAGATTTCACTGGACCTACCTAGACCCTGACCCAATCATGTTCTTCTTTTCACCTGCAGCCACAGCCACCCTCCCTACCACACCCCTTCCATCTCTTGCTCTGAAACAGTGATCAAGCCCACACTAGTTTAGATCTCCTGTCACCTTCCACTCACCATCCCTCTCTACCTTCTCAGATCAAAACACGCTTCCAGGGGGCAGCTAGGTGGCGCAGTGGACAGAGCTCTGGCCTTGGAGTCAGGAGGACCTGAGTTCAAGTTTGACCTCAGACAGTCGACACTAGCTGTGTGACCCTGGGTAAGTCACTTAACCCCAATTGTCTCACCAAAGAAAAAAAGGAAAAGCAAAACACCCTTCTACAAACATCACTGCCCTCATATGTGTTGTCTTCCCCTTTTAGAATGAAACTTCCTCAAGAGTAGAGATCATGTTCATGTTGTGTTTGTATCCCCATTGTTTAGCAATCAATCAAGCATTTTTAAAGCCCCTAAGTATGCCTCTTTTTTTGGGGGGGGGTTAGGCAATGGGGTTAAGTGACTTGCCCAGGGTCACACTGCTAGTAAGTGTTATGTGTCTGAGGCCGGATTTGAACTCAGGTCCTCCTGAATCCAGGGCTGGTGCTCTATCCGTTGTACCACCTAGCTGCCCCAGTATGCCTCTTTGCAACTTCCATCCAACATTCCTGGTTCTGCTCTCCAGGGTTAAAGAGAGCTAAATCTAATCCATCTTCCACATGTCAGCCTTTAAATATTTAAAGGCAACCAAATATGCCCCCTGAGTATCTTTGCTGCTGCAGGGTGAACTAAATCTAAACTGCTAGACTGTAGGGAAACTGTTGGACCCCGAGACCTAAATATTGAGAGGGTTGGACTAACTCGGGGCTTCTCAACCTGAGGAACCCTGGATAGATTTCAAGGGGTCCGTGACCTTAGATGGAAAAAAAAATGTGTCCTTATTTTCATTAACCTCTAACTGAAATTTGATATTTCCTTGAATTATATGTTTTTTTAATGTTTTCCTATGAAGTGGTCCACAAACTTCACCAGACTGTCAAAGGGGTCCATGACATAATAATTTTAAGAATTTCTGGATTTGGTGATGCCTAAGGTGACTCTAACATTCTTCAAATATTCTGTGATTCCATAGCCTATTTATTGGCCCAGTGGCCTCCACAAACACCTATCTTCTTCCTCCATACCTGTTGTCCGGCCTCTGGGTACCCCCCACCATCTATAGCTGTTACCCAATCTGCCCCCAATGATCCCTCCTCCCCTTCTTCAACTATCCTCTCCTCTCTACCCTTTGCCTACTCACTTTTTTGAGCTCATTCAGAAACAACTCCACCATGGACTTGATGGTCTGGGCTTGAGTTGTGCGCAGTATTAGTTTCTCATTCCTTAAGGAAAATTGGAGAATGCCATGTCCTTCGGCCTTTACCTCCAGGACTTCTGCAAAACTGTGGACAAATCAATCGGGAGTAGATACTATGTTAGAGACGCCTGACTTATCCTTAAGAAAAGGGAAAGCTCCCAGGATGCCAGTGTCTACTGCCACCTCCCACCCCTCCTGACCTGTAGCTGCAGAGGGTCTTGAGGTGGTCTGTGAAGAAGGTGGCATTGTTCACAACTTTGAGCAGGCGAAGGCCCCGATGAGACACAGCCAGAAGTTGTACATCACTGCCACTCTCCCCCTGTAGCAGAATTCAGGGTCACAGTGTTGACAGGGGAATGGGAGGGAAAATCCCCCAGCAGAGTGAGGAGGGGGCCAAGGAGACATGGGAGATACTACACTCTGCTAAGTTGGTAAATTTTGCTTCTTGAGTGCTATGGAAATGTTTGTGTCCTTCTGTTAATTCTGTCATTGCCGTCATTGCCATCAAGCTCGTGGACTCCTTCCTGATGGTAGGAGCTATGTCCTGTCTCCCTTATCTGACTAGGGGCTTCTTCCCAAGGGCAAGGATTGTGTCCACTCTGTTAGACTGGGAGTCTCCTGAGGGAAGGGACCAGGTCTCTTCCTATTCCACTGCCCTTCCGTAATGCCCAGCACACAGGACACTGCATTCACCATGGTGGTTGATTTGGTGGATGGAGGACATGGGATGACATTCCTAGGCACGGAAAAAATGTGCTTGGGCAGACTAGGACCTATGAGGAAATAACCCCCCCCCAAAGCCTTGCACAGTTCCAGATGGGGGCCCTGCCAGGGCTATGTAGGGTTCAAACTGACCGAGACACGGAAGATGCGAGAGAAGTAGTTGTCCCAGTTGTCTCGGGCAGCTACCACAATTCTCTTCTTGATACTGTCTTCAGTGATGGAACTGGCATTCATACCCACCTGCAAGTCCGCTGTGGACAAGAGACTCTCTTAACTTGGCCACTATCCCCCCACCCGTCTTCCTTGACAGTCCCCCTTCCTCTAAGTAACTGCCTTATCCCATCCTGACCACCCAAGGTCTCAGATCCAAAGATGACTGATGAATGGCCAGGATGGTCCCTTTGCAGAGATCCCCACAGATACCTCCATCACAATTGTCCTCACCCCCTCCAATATGACTTTGGCTCCAATGCTTAGAACACAAGATTCTCCCATCTTTTTGACCATCACTACCAACCCCGAGGTTTCCTAGACCCTATACCTAGCATAGCTTTCATCTTGTTCCGTTCATCTGGAGAGATTCGGATACAGGACTCAGTGAAAGTGTCACGCAGGATCTGAGGATGTACGAGGTGTCATTACCATGGAGGCTTCTAGGGTGAGAGTCAACCTCCCAAGGAATGACCACAGACAGAAATACCAATAGTCCCAGCCTCCTAAAGGGTAATACCTCTGTTCCCCCATCACTCTGTCTCTTTCTGTCTATGTCTAGATCCCTGTCTCCCTGTCCCTTAGTGCTTTTGTATATGCCTATGGAAATCTTTGTGTCTCTCAAAGCCTATCTCTCTGTCTCTTAGCACTCCCCCTCCACCAACTGAAAATCCATCTTATGTGAGGGCATGGTTGGGACCCTGACTTAAGAAATGATATGAGGGGTCCTTTATTGCCTGGGTTTCATTTAATGTCGCTGCCTGAAGTATTACCAATCATTGATTAACGTAGTTAGCGTGGCCTTCTTTAAAGTGAAAATGTCCTGGGAGAGAGAACTTGAATTAGTTTTTATCCGATTGCTTCATAATCTAACCTACCTCCAATACCTAAATTAAAGCATATGCCCATTGACTAGGGATTTTAAGTGACATTGGGCAAGAGATGGGAAAGGAAGGAGGAAAGGGACGGGGGGTTTTGGAGGATGGAACACAAGTGACGGGGGAGAGCAGACCCAGGGACCAGAGCTGAGATTCTGAGCAGCCTGGAGCAGTGTGAAACTACTTGGAGTGTCATGAAGTGCAGGGTTATTGAGACAAGCTTACAAATTATCCCTTTCAGGGAGTGGGGTATAAAGAAGCCAGCACTCACTTGTTCACAAAGAAGTCTCAGACAGTAGGGGTGATTGAAGTTCTCCCGGGGGTAGAACACCTGTGAGAGATACAGAGAGATATGAAAGGATCCCAAGCAATAGTGGAGCCCTTGTTTGCATGGAAATGGGAAGGCCCACTTCTAGCTAGCCCCCTCACCTCCTATCCTAGCCCATTACTTACTCCAGGAAGGCCAGACCAGGAGCACTGAGAAGAGAGGACAGAACCAGTCATGCAAGAGAACAAAGACCCACTGTCTCCCTACCTCTTTTTGAAGGAACAGCCTCCAGGTGGCACTGGCATAAGCAAAGCAAACACTGCTTGAGGGAGGAAGCAACTTAGTACTGATATGTTCATCCTTCATGGACAGAACTGGGTCTAGAGGTCAGAAAAAGTAACATTAGGGACTCCAAAACCCTGTGCTTTCCTTTGTCGCTGTCGTTTCAGTCATGTCCAACTCTTTGGGACCCCATTTGGGGTTTTCTTCACAAAGTTTGCCATTTCCTTCTCTAGTTCATTTTACAGATAAGGAAACTGAGGCAAAAAGGGTTAAGTGACTTGCCCAGGGTAACACAGCTAGTAAGTATCTGAGGCCAGATCTGAACTCAGGAAGATGAGCTTTCCTTACTTCTGGTGCAGTGCTCTATCCACTGCACTACCTAGCTAATGGCACCATCCCAAGTCCCACGAAGTAGCTAGGCAGCATAGTGGATAGAGCGCTGAACCAGGAGTCAAGAAGACCTGAATTCAAATCCAGTCTCAGACACAGCTTGCTTGTGTCACTTAACCTCTGTCTACCTCAGTTGCCTCATCTGCAAAATAGGAATTATAATAGTGCCTACCTCCCAGGGAGGTTGGAGGAGGGATTAAATGAGATGTGTAAAGTGCTTTCCAAACCCTAAAGCACTATATAAATGCTAGCTATCATTAGAATTGGCTATTATGTTCAACCAAGGGCCAGATCCTATCTATTCTACCTCCACAACTCACTCTTCCACTTTGTTCCTCTCTTGTGACCATTTCTTTAATTCTCTACTCTCATGCAGACTGTGGTAGCAGCCTCCTAGTTGGTCTCCCCTCTTCCAGTCTCTCTTCTCTCCAGTCCATTTTCAACAAAACTAGCAAAATAGTCTTCCCATGCCTCTGATCTGACTACATGACTCTCCAGATCAATAGCCTTCAGTAGCTCCCTACTGCCCTCCAAGATAAAAAACAAACTCCTCAGAATTCTGCAATCTGATCCAAACCAATGATTCCAGCTTCATTTCTCACTGTCCCTCATCCTTCACTTGACACTGATTTCAGACAAACTGGGCCACTCATAAAGCCTTGGGGCCTCTCTTCATCTGCACAGAGTTGTCTCTCTTCTTTTTTTTTGTTTTAATTTTTAGGCAGTTGGGGTTAAGTGACTTGCCCAGGGTCACACAGCTAGTCAGTGTCAAGTGTTTGAGGCCGCAGTTGAACTCAGGTCCCCCGACTTCAGGGCCGGTGCTCTATCCACCACACCACCCAGCTGCACCTGTCTCCTCTTGTTTATAGCCTCACTGGGTCCCAGCTGTTAAAAGTGTTTTTTGGGGGGCAGTTAGATGGTGCAGTGGATAGAGCACTGGCCCTGGATTCAGGAAGACCTGAGTTCAAATTTGGCCTCAGACACTTGACACTTACAGCTGTGTGATTCTGGACAAGTCACTTCACCCCATTGCCTCCCCCCCCTCAAAAAAAAGTGTTTTTCTCCCTTCTCAAATTTTCCTAGAACGTTTTGTCTGTATTTCTTCCTTCCCCCGTTGCTTCCTACCTTGTATGGTACCTAACTGTGTATATACACTGTATCCCACCATAGAAGTGAAGGACCTTGTCATTTGTTTATATGTTCAGTGATTAGCACTATGGGTTGAAATAAGTATGTGTCATGGAAATGTGTCTCGTATGACTACACACGTACAACCCATGTCGAATTGCTTGCCTTCTCAGGCTGGAAGTACAATCATTTATGACTGGATCCAGGCACTGACTACTGCTCAGTACAGAAGCTTTACTGGCTCCATTTTTCCAGCTTCCCAGTTCTCTCATCCTTGATCAACCTGGTGGCCCTTCACTCCCCAGGGCCTCACCTTATCGGTTGCAGATTTAGTTTGGACACCCAGTCATCTTTAGCCCAAACTCATACAATCCACCAGCCTTTCCGAGTAGCAGGAATTACAAGTATACGCCACTACCCTGGCACAGTTCTAAATCCACAGCCCTATGACCAACTGAGTTAGCAACCCATCCCTGAAGAAGATTTAGCTTATGACAATATAACACCCTTCACAAAGTCCAGTGCTTCAGCCCAGCTCTCCCATATTCAAAAATGAAAGTCTCTCTAGTCAGAACGAGACCTTTTCAGTTCCAAACCCCACCTGTTCAAGATGACTGTCACTTGGGGATGGAAATAAACTTGATTTAGGGACACCTTCCAGATTCAATTATAAAGCTGAAGAATCAGAAAATCTCCAAGTTAGAAGGGGCCTTAGAGTTTCTTTAATCCAAGCTCTTCTACCATGTCAGAGTAATACAACCTGGAAACTTATTCCTCCCCAAAAAGGTCATCAGAAACCTGCCTCCACAAAAATACAGGATGCAGATAACAATCCTGAAGGGTACGACTATGAGTGACTAGGATGGGTCTGTGAGGGTTTCTTCACCTGATGTGGGTGGAGCTGGGCTCTCCGGTGGAAGGGAAGGTGGAGGTGGAGGTGGAGGTGGAGGTGGAGATGATGGAGACTCAGGAATTGAGGTCATGTCTTGAACTGGGGCAAACAAATCCTTCAGTGGTCTCTGCTTCTCTTTGATGGAGCTAGACGATCCAAAGGAGATGGGGGACTTGGGCCGACTTGGAACAGGTGGTGGTGAGTCCCTCTTAGGGCCCAGAGCTGATGCCTAGGAGGAAATGGAGAAGAATTATTCGTGGACATGTGCCTGCTAGGCACCTTTCCCTTTCCTCAGAGGCCCACAAGATGACAAGTCAGTCTAAGGCTGTGAAGGGATGGGGAGGAGGACTATAAGGCTTTTGCTCCTCCCCACACACAGAATCCCCCAAGAAGGAGAAGGAACAGAAAGTCAGAATTGTAAAACCCGGGATTTCAGGAGCCCACTCCCTCAGGTTCACCGGAGGAGGCAGACAGTTGCCACTAAGACCCAGTTTGGCCAGCGCCTCATCCTTGGGGTCATTCTTCTTTATGAAAGATTTTTGAGGCTTCCTGGGGAAGGAACAGGGAGACAGAGGGTCAGTCCCAAGGAGGCCTCACCACCATCCCTTTGGAAAGCTTTCATCCAATTCCTGGTAACCCCTGTGTCCCCGACCTGGCAGGCTGGATGGGTTCAGGCGCTGGTGCAGGGCGGCTCTGGTACATCTTGATGATGTTTCGGATTTCTCTGCTGGGTTCTTCTAGTTTGTGGGCTGGTTTTGAGCTTCGTACCACGGCTCCTGGAGGCCTTTCCTTACTCTCCTTTTGGCTTTTGGCTTGTGGGCTAATGTTAGTTTTCACTTCATCTCGTGCTTTGGCTCCAGCACCATCTTCATTCTTAGTTTTGTCTCCTCCCTCTTTTTTGTTAAGTGGTTTCTTGACCACTGGGGGAGGAGAAGGTGCTATGAGAATGAAGGGAGAAAATAATTAGGTTAGTTAGTAATGCTGGGGGGTGAGGAAGGGGAGAATCTCATCTCAGTTATCTATTCTGTCGCTCTCTTCCTCCTCTTATCCCTACCCAGCGTAAGACCTAATTCATTTAGTTCTCCTACAATCCATATATACCATACTATATCTTTAAAAACCAAATGGAATGTTTTTGGAAAAGGCAGCTTATGTTAGTAATTGGAAGTCCATTGCATATAACATCTTTTTTTTTTTTTTGATGTGTTGATTGATCTTTTTTGAGGGAGAGGCGATCGGGGTTAAGTAACTTGCCCAGGCTCACACAGCTACCGTCTGAGGCTGGATTTGAACTCAGGTCCTTCTGACTCTAGGGCTGGTGCTCTATCCAATGTGACACCTACCTGCCCTGTGTTGATTGATTTTGATAATTTTCTCCCTCTTCTTTCTCTTAAAAAAAACCCCTTCATTATAAGGGAAAGAAGAGGAAACATACCTGTGGAAAATGTAGGCAATATAAAAGCAAAAGATATTAAAAATCTAATTTTTAAAAAAGAAATGTTCTGCTGTGAGGTACTTTTTCTCCCTGTGGAAACAAGGATAGTTAGATATGTATTATATTTACTCTATGAGTATCTATGAGGAATCTGTGAAGGTGAAGGGGAAAAACTTCTGCCTTGTCAGAGCTAAAAATTTGTTTATGTTAAGAAGAAACATTGTAAAGAGAATCTTAAGAAGAGTCTGTGAAGAGCAGCCAACATTCTAGAAAGATTTTCCTGTGATGACTGAAAAAGGGGAAAAAGAAAAAAGGACTAACCTAACATTTCCTGAAAAGAGTGAATTTAGCCTTTATCTTAAGGAGAAATATGAAGAAGATTCTTAAGAGCCTTCAATTAGTATTTGGAGTGAACTGAATAGTGAAACTGTTTCTGAAAGTGAAATCATTTATCATTATAGTGAGGGTTTAAGGTGACTTTGATTGTCATAGCTCGTATTTCGTTATCTCTGCTCTTTTTATTGCTAATTTCATTTGTTAATAAATTGAATATGAACAACTACTAGAAAAGAAGGCTTCTTCAGTGTATTTAATAAATAATATTTAATGGGGGCAGCTAGATGGCACAGTGGATAGAACACCAGCCCTGGAGTCAGGAGGACCTGAGTTCAAATGCGGCCTCAGACACTTGACACTTACTAGCTGTGTGACCCTGGGCAAGTCACTTAACCCCATTGCCTAGCAAAAAACAAAACAAACAAAAAATAATAATAATATTTCATGAACTGGGATGAGGGTTTAAGTCATTCGATTAATTAATGAAAAGAACACAGTGCTTGGCCCATAGTAAGTGCCTACCCCACCTACCTTGCTAGATTGGTATCACAGAACCATAGGATGTCCAAACTGAAGGGGGCCCTAGACATCCTCTAGTCCAATCCTTTCATTTTACAGAGGAGGAGAGCAATTCACAATGAGTTAGTCCAATAGCAAGGGCCAGTGCCCAAGATTCCCACTTCCCAAACTAAGGCTCTTTCTACAATGTCATCCTCACCTTTGATTTCCTCCTCCTCCTCTTCTTCTTCCTCCTCCTCTCCTTGCTCTATCTCCCTCTGAGGGATGGGCACCTTTGCAAGTGGCTTCACCTTCTTCAACCAAATAGATTCTTGCCCTGCAAGGAGGTACCAGAGTTGACACTGTCCCGATCTCCTTTGCTCTGTCCATTATATGGCTGCCTCCCTCCTTCAGCACCCCCATTACCACCACAGTTGCCTCCATTCCTGCTGATGCTGTCCCTAGCCTTTAGTCAAATAAAGGCCCTGTTGCTATATCCTAAAGAGATCATACAAATGGGAAAAGGACCCACATGTACAAAAATATTCATAGCAGCTCTTTTTGTGGTGGCAAAGAATTGGAAATTGAGAGGATGTCCATCAATTGGGGAATGGCTGACCAAGTTGTGGTATATGAATGTAATGGAATACTATTGTGCTATAAGAAATGATGAACACACTGACTTCACAAAAACCTGGAAAGACTTGTATAGTCTGATGCTGAGTGAAATAAGCAGAACCAAGAAAACATTGTACACAATAACAGCCACGTTGTGCTATGACCAATATTGATAAACTTAACCCTTCCCAGCAATACAAGGATCTAAGACATCTCCAGGGGCCTCGTGATGGAAAATGCTATCCACATCCAAAGAAAGAACTATGGAAGTTGAATTGCTATTTTTTTTTCTCTTCTGTTGAGTTTTGTTTCCTCTTTCTGATGGTTCCTCCTATTGGTTTTAATTTTTACTTATAACATCACTAATGTGAAAATATGTTTAATAGGAATACAAGTGTATAGCCTATATCAGATTGTGCGCTGTCTTGGGGAGGGTGGTGGGGAGGAAGGGGGAGAAAAATTTTAAACTCAAAAGCAAATGAAAGTGATTATTGATAAATCAAAATAAATTAATAAAATTTTTAAAAAAATAAGGGCCCTGTTGCCAATCCACAAAGCCCCACTGGACAAAGAAAGAGGACCTGAACTTCCTCTGCTTTGGCATGGTTGTGCCAGAATGACCATTTAGAGAAGTTGCGCCATAGTCCCAGCCTTTGATTCCACCCTTCCAAACATCCCCTATCTCTGCCTGCAGGGCCATTTCCCTTGCTTGGGATCTTTTACCTATCTTCTGGAAATAATCCCGTTTCTCCTGGAAGGTATTGGGTTGCCTCAGTTTCTCTTCCTCCACTTCTGGAATCTCTGCCTGTTGGGAACAAGATACTGACTGCCTCCTCCCCCTTTGTCCAGACCCTTGCTATACCTTGACAGAACTCTGCCATGCTCATTACCCATTCCACTCCAACTGTGAGCTGGGACATGTTGGCCTCTCCCTCCCTCTTCCTTCTTTTCTCTTTCTTGGCTGATTCATGTTTTCCCCCAAATGCTAAGATCCTAGAATCCTCTGTCCCCGTTTCTACCCTTGACACTGCCACCAGCCTGGTTTTGCTGTTTCCCTTGGGACAAGACTCAGCCTATCCCCCCTGAGAGCTCTCATTTATCCCTCTCAGGTCTGTACCGGTTCCAGGCTCCTTTGGGGCTCTGCCTTAAGAACAGGTGAGCTTTTGCTGACAACAGCTGGGGACTTCTTTGGTTTGGGAGTGCTGGGAGTGAGCTGGGGCGCATATATGGAGGCCTGGCTCAGGCGCTGAATTTGGGCCTGCTGCTCCAGGGAAAGAGTCATGGCCTGGGTGGTCATTTGCTGAGCCTAGGTAGTAGGAAAAGGGAAAGAGCAACCCTGGTGAGAGAAGAAGCCCTCCTGGATATCCGCACCTGAATAAGAAAACTAAGCAGAACCCTTTCTCCAACAAACCTGTCTCCTGATTCCCACCAGCACAGCATTCATAGAACAAGTGACTTAGAAGTCATCTACTCTAATACATTCATTACATGGAAGAAATAACTTGCCAATGTTATAGAGGTAGTTTCTGTCAGAGTCAGGATTTGAACCCAGGCCCTCTAACTCCAGAGGCAGTGATTTTGCTGCTATATCGTGCCCCCTTCCCATACATCCTGCCCCCTCCAGCCCTCACCAAGATCATGGCTTGCTGGTTGATAAAGCTCTGCTGCTGTGCAGCCAGCTCTTCGGCACTGAGTGTGGGCACCACTGGCTGGGACTGGGATGGCATCATCATGCCTTGGAAGCAAAAAGGACACAACAATGATAGGCAAAATGTATACAGTGCTTTAAGATTCACAAACAACTTTACATACATCATCTCATCTGATCCTTGCAACGATCCTGGAACATGGATATTATAGGGATCGTTATCCATACTCTACAGATGAGGAGAATGAGGTGTCAGAAACATTAAGTCCCTCACCCATGGTCACACAGTCAGTTACTGTCAGAAGTGAGTGTCAAACCCAGAGTTCAACTGGTCCTAGTCTCCACTCTCAAACCACCACTGTGGCTATCTCCCTGATAGGCAGGAGTGGTCTTCCAAGCCCATTATCCGCCCTACTTCCAACGGGAAGCTGTGACACTCTGACATCACCTTCCCTCCTCTAATAGGCACACCTATGTTCTGGTCACCATCCTAGAGAAGGAGACAATAATCCCACACCCACTCTATATGCGAGGTCTTCCTACTTCTTTCCACTATACCTGGCATGGCTGGGACTCCACCCATTGAAGGCACAGATGGCATTGATGGTATTGCTGGCATGAGTGGCACAGGTGCCGGCATCATTGCCCCCATGGCAGGCTGGTAGTTCGGCATCTGCATCATCCCTGGATACACTTGGGGATGAGGGAGGAAAGGAGAGAAGACATCTTGTTTCTATCCCATGGGTAGGCATTTAGGATGTGTGTCTACTTACAATCCCCTCCCTGTGTCTGGGAAGCAATTCCCTACATTCTTAGTGCTGGAATGACAGCCCATAAAACCAGGTCCAAGGAGAACCAGGGAAAAGAGGTGCCCAGCCACTCAGGTATTTACTCTCTACCGGCACTCAATTTCCCTAGTACCCAGTGACCTCATGCCATGTGTCTAAGACCATGAGCAGACCTCTTCTGCCAACCTGTGGTCATTTGCACGGCACCCGCTGGTCCCTGATACTCCAAGCCTCAGAGGAAGACCTCAGGGAAAGGGATTGGACAATGCTAGACCTACTGATTAACACTGAGGCAAACCCCAGCTCAGGGTTCAGTGAGGTGTTAGAATCTAAGAAAAAGCACCCACACAGGCAGCCCCCAGTGAATGAGAGCATGCATCTAGGTGCCAACGCCTATAAAAACTGCCATCACCTCTGCTTTTCCCAGGTCTGGTCTGGGTGTGCCCAAGGATGCCAGGAGCAAGTGCTATACTCACTCAAGGAGTAGCCTCCTTGCTGAGTCCCAATGCCTCCGCCACCTTTCATTCGGCTGTTCAGTGCCCTGGTTTGTTCTAGACCCTGCTGTGACAAAGAGCCAACAGCACATCAGAGACCAGGGCCCTTGGGGGTATGGAGTGAGACCAGTGCAAGGACTGGGGGAAGAGGCAGGAGAGGAAAGGATAGACAGAGACGATTGGAGGATGGATCAAGACGGAGAAGAGGAGCCCGGAGAGGACCAAGGGAGCTGGCAGATTCTAGACAAGCATGTAGAACTCACCCTGGACCCTGGGGAGAGCACAGGGTCAAAAAGGTTATCCAGGAACCCATCCAAGCTCTTAGAGCTCTGGGGTTGCCCTGTTGGGAAGAGAGTTAACAGGGATCGTTAAAATCCCTTCCAGGCCCAGCACCCTTCAGCCTCGCATGGCTTCCAAGCCCGATCCTGCAAATTCATTGCCCTCCATCTCCTGTCCTAAAATAACCCCGCTCTTGGTCTGCTTTAGGAAGCCAGTTATAGTCCTCACTTGGGTAGCTCCTTTGAGGCAGTGATGGGGCAGGACCTAGAGGTGGCGCTGGAGTCAAGAGAGGAGCCTGGATTCCTGGGGGTGAGGGGATGTCTTCAGAAGTCCTGTAGGAAACAGGGGTCACATCATAGGTAGAAACAGGAAGGGAAGTGGATTCACCATACCCATCCCAGGCACGATGCGTTGAATGGGGCAAGCAGAAGCACTCACCCATTATGAGGGGTGATGGGATAGCTGTCAGGGGCACTGGGGTCCCCTAAGTACTCGGTCTGTCCAATCAGATCCAGCACAAAGTCACAGCCTGCCAAGTCCTGCCAGGAATCTCCAGAGATCAGAGACACTGACCAGCCTCGTATAGGCTGCTCTATGCCCCTGGGACAAGGGTAGGTGTAGGAAAGAAAGGAGGAAAGTGGGGTCAATTAAAGGCTGTGGCAAAACTCTGGTTCAGCTCCTACACACACGCACACACACACACACACACACACACACACACACACACACACACACACAAAACATGCCTGAGAACCAGTGTCTATAAGAGCTCATTAAGATTAATAATAGCTAGAATTTATATAGCACTTTAAGGTTTACAAAGCCTTGTTTTAACCCTGGAATGTTATCCCCATTTTACAGATGAGGAAACTAAGGCTGGAAGAGATGACATGACTTGCCCAGGATCAAAGAACCAGTAAGAATCAGAGGCAGGATTTAAACTCAGATCTTCCTGACTTCAGGTCTATCACTCTATCTATTGTACCACCTGGCTACTTCTAATATTCCCCAAGAACAACTAGCACGTATTTGGTATACAAGCACCCTTCCACTACTACTACTGGATTTTTCTTAGTTAGTGATGAATATTATACCACAAGGAGAATAATTCCACCATTTGCATTTGCCTAAACTTTCTCCTCTGTCTAATCAATCCTCCAGACAGCCACCAAAGTGATATTTCTAAAGCACAGTTCTGACCATGTCATTCCTCTGCTCAACAGACTGAAGTGGATACTAGGCCTATGCCCCAACGAAATCACAGAAAGAGGGGAAGGATCCATACAGACACAAGTATTTATACTCTTTTGGTGGTGGCAAAGAACTGGTAGCCAAGAGGGTGCTCATCAAGTGGGGAAATGGATGAACAAATTATTTTATGTGACTGTAATGAAATCCTATTGTGCTATAAAAATTGATGAAGGGGACAGTTTCAGAGAATCTTAGGAAGACTTGTATGAACTGATGCAACACGAAGTAAGCAGAACCAGGAGAATAAACTGTACAATAACAACAATATCGTAAAGCCAAACAACTTCAGAAGACAAGAACTCTGATCAACGCTATGCCCAGCCAGGACCCATGATGCAGCATATCTTATGTATACATTCATATATATGTGTGTATATGGGTATATATACATACATACACATATATATCATACACACACAGAGATACAATACTACATATACCCATCTCCTGACAGAGAGCAAGGTGATGATGATAGACTCAGAGTGAGACATACATAATACATACATACCGAATGAGACATAGATTTTTGAAAATGGCTTGTGAGGGCATTTGATTTGCTTAACTATGCATATTTATTATAAGGATTTTGTTGGGGGCAGCTAGGTGGTGCAGTGGATAGAGCACCGGCCCTGAAGTCAGGAGTACCTGAGTTCAAATCCGGTCTCAGACCAAACACTTGACACTTACCAGCTATGTGACCCTGGGCAAGTCACTTAACCCCAACTGCCTTAAAAAAAAAAAAGAAAAAAAAAGGATTTTGTCTTTTCTTTTTCTATGGGAGGAGATGGGAAGGAGAAAAAATGAGTTTTTGTTAATTGAAAAAAATTAAATTAAATTTTAAACATTAACTCTAGTGAGTCCATGTTACCTCTAGAATCAAATACAAACTCTGTCATTTCAAGTCCTTCACAATCTGACTCTAGTCTATCTTCCCAGTCTTATTATTTCATCAACATTTCCCAACATGCACTTTGGGTCAACCAAATTTACCTTCTTGCTCTTCCTCATACATGATATTGTATCCCCTTTCTGTCTTTGCCTGAAATGCTCCCCTCTTCACCTCCATCTCTTAGAATCTTTAGTTTCCTTCAAAGATTAGCTGAACTTTTCCCCCCTTACAAGAAGCATTTCCTGAGGGCAGCTAGGTGGTGCAGTGGATAGAGCCCTGGCCTTTGAGTCAGGAGGACCTGAGTTCAAATCTGGCCTCAGACCAAACACTTGACACTTACTAGCTGTGTGACCCTGGGCAAGTCACTTAACTCCGATTGCCTCACCAAAAAAAAAAAAATAAGCAAGAAGCATTTCCTGATCTCTCCAACTGCTAGGGCCTTTCCTACTCCAAGATTACCTTCTATTTATTTTGAGGAGACATAGTATTTAGAGCCAGAAGGCACCTCAGAGACATTGAACCCAATTCCCTCATTTTGCCGATGAGGAAACAGGCTGAGTGTCTTGCCTCGGGTCACTGAGCTAAGTGTCTGAGGCAAGATTCAAACTCTCTATCAACTATGCCAAACTACCTCCTATAGAATATAAGTTATTTGAGGGTGAGTATTGTTTTGTTTTTGTCTTTGTATGTCCCTAGAGCCTAGCAGAGTGTCTGGCACATAAAAGGGCTTAATAAATACTTTTAAATTATTTAAATTTTTAAAAAATAGTTTTAAATTTAAATTTTTTAATTTAAAAGTTTTAAATTTAAAAGTATTTAAAAGTAATTTAAAAGTTTAAATTTTTAATTGTTTTAAATTATTTTAAATTGTTTAAATTTATTTTTTAAAATTTAATTTCATTTTATTATCAGTTTCAGATTATCTCCCCACCCCATTACTCTCCCTCCCATTGAGAAGGCAAGAAATACAAAACCCTTAATAAATACTTGTTAACTGATAGGATGATTGTTAACCATTTACACACACACACTAAGACTCACATAAGAAATAACTCACATTTGGGGATTTGTTTTCTTTGACTATGCATATCTGTTACAAGAGTTTTGTTTTGTCTTAATGTGGGAGGTGGGAGGGAGAGAAAATAAATGCTCATTAATTTTAAAATAATTTGCATGAATGTACATACACACGAGACACTTTCACACAAACTCTTACAACATACACATGCTCAGTCATACACACACAATAATAACTCATCTATCTTAAAGCTTACAAAGCACCTAAGGTATAATACTTCATACACATACAGATACACATTTTAGACACTTTCCTGTATACATATACACATGAAATCACTGGCAAAAATGCCCTGGGGAGTGAACATTGTCTCCTTTTATCCATAGCCTGGTCTAGTGAGAACAGTGTCACTCCCAAGACAGCAGGTGGCCTAGGAAGGAAAAAGCTTGAGAGAAGTGGAGGAGGAAGAGGAAGAGAGAAATTCTGAGTAGGTCCAATGCCCTTGCCTAACCCATCCCCACCTCCCCATGCCAGGTTCCCTAGGCTCTCTTACCTGGTCTGTAGGATCCACCCAGCAAACTCTTCCCCTGTGGTCCAGGATTTGACTTCTGCTGAGTAGCGCTCTTCTGCAGGAATGGAACAGCTCAGGGGTTAGAAGGTTGGGCGGAGATAGAGTGAAGGAGGGCGTTACCCATGTGAGGGAAGTCAATTGTCACCATGGTAATTGCTATGCAGACGATGAGTAAGGATCACCATGAGGAATCAGAGGTCATCAAGGGGAGACCCAGGATACTGGGTACCAATACTTTGTAGGATCAAAGGTCAGGAAAGATGGAAGGGAACCGTAGGGACTGAACACAACTAAGGGCTAGAAGAGGGGTTGGATAGGGAAGATATTGGGAAGTAGGTCTTGGCAAAGGAAGGTTTGACTCTAGTAGTGACTTTGGGGGAGAGGAGCTGAGGAAGGAGATGCTCAGTCCCATTTACCACTGAAAGTGAAGACATCGAGGACCATACGCCCACATCGCCACCCTGAAATCCACTCCAGCTGCGTAGGTGGGTAGGCACGGACACTGTTGACCACTGACTGGGACTGTTGCAATGCCCCCAAGAGCTTGTGCTGGCACACAGCTGCAATACCCTTTGGAGCATGGTCAGACACAAACCTACAGGGAAAAGAAAGAGCTCAGGATGGGAGACACTGACCGCTGGGTTGGCTTGTATAGAAATTACTCCAAATGTAGCAGGAAGAAGTCAGGCTCTCTGGAAGCCATGTCCTTCCTGGGCCTTGTTGCCTTACATAGCTGTTCACCTTCTTCCTGCTCTGTTCCCCATATCCTATAAGCCCCTAGCCTCTCTTCTCTCTATGTCTCCTCGTGCCCTGTGTCCCCTGTCCAGCCTCCCAGAGGCCCCCTCAACTCCAACCTACTTGAGCAGTGGCTTCTGAAGGGTTGTTGTTGGGGTGAAGGCACTGAGCAGAATGGCCATGAGTGCCCAGCCTCGATGACTCTGCTGTTCGTCTGGGTTGTGCCATAGCTGGGTCACAAGTTGGCAAAAGATCTCATTTCTCAGGGCAGGGTGGCACTGCCCCTGGTGGGCCAAATATGTGCCCAGGGTCTGTTCCTGCCAGGACTGAAGTGATAGGTCACCCAGGAGCCGTAACATCTATTGACACAAAGGGGTTGAGAGACAGGAGTGAAAGTTGACTTCGGGATAGGGATAAAGTGCTAGGCCTAGAATCAGGAAGACCTGAGTTCAAATCCCACCTCAGATACATTCTAGCTGTGTGATCCTGAGCAAGTCACTTAACCTCTGTTTCCCTCAGTTTCTTCAACTGTAAAATGGGGATAATAATAGCATCTACCTCCCAGGGTTGTTGTGAGGATTAAATGAGACATATTTGTAAAAGCCCTTAGCACAGTGCCTGGCACATGGGAAGTGCTATATAAATGCTGGCTGTTTCGTTGCTGCTGTTGTTAGAGGAAAGCATAGAGTCAGAGATGGAAATCAGAAGATTCAGTGAGGTGTACTGGAAAGAACAATGGATTTATAAGTCAAAGGACTTTGGTCCCAATCCTGGCTCAGTCATATGAATGACCTAGGGCAAGTTCTTGTCCTCATTAGACCTCCCTTTGCTTATCTGTAAAATGAAGATGTTGGACAAAGTGACTTGTAAAGTTATTTCCAGTTCTAGAGAGATGATCCTATGAAGAGGGACTGGAGAAGACCTTAGGTACTCAGAGGACAAGTAATCCTCTAGATGAGTAGTGGGCTCTTGGCAGTCCCTTCCACTCCACCCTGGCTTCTTGACCCAGTGCTACTTGGACCCTCTTCCCCGCTAGCCACCGTCTCTCACTTACCACTTTGTTGACATCCAGGGCAAGCTGAAGGCTAACCCTATCCAGATGAGTCAGAGGTGACGTCAGGGGCTGTCCCAGAGTGGGCAGGGTTGGCTTCTGAAAAGGAGGATGTGTTGGTGGCTAGGTGTGGTGGGTGCTAAAGTAAAAACAATCTGAGAAGGCTGCCCAGAGGGAGGATCATGCCAAAAGGGGAGAATCACACAAAAGAAAACTGAGGGTAATATAAATGTGAGAAAGGGGTTTATAATTCAATTCAGCTTGATAAGCATTTATACTATGTGCCAGGCGTGTGCCCATGGCACTGTGTTAGACACTGGAGATACACAGATAAAAACCAATGCAGTTCCTGCCCTCAAGGAGCTTATGGTCTGCTGGGGGAATATGTACACAGTTAAATTAATACAAAAGTAAATAAAAAGTAATTTTTGGAGGGTGGAGATTGGAAGGAAAGGACTAATAATTGAGGGGGATCAGAGTTAGCATTGGAACTGAGTTTTGAAGAGAGCTGGGGAATCTAGGAGGCACAAGTGAGGAAAGCACAGGAGACAACCAGGGCAGACGTGGAGAAAGGAGAGGCAAAAACGTCATGTTGGGAGAACAGCAAATGAGCCCATATTTGGAATGTACAGAATGTGATGAAACCAATAGAGGCAAGCAGGCAGGGAAGAAGCAAACAGTACCTGAAAGTTTTCAGAGATGAAGCTGGAAAAGGGGAATCTGTCAATGTCAGGAGGGAGAGCCAGTTCGTCCTGAGCTGTGACCTCTGGGGGAAGGGCTTCTGTGATGTTTTCTGCCATGACATGCCGACGACCTAGCAACATCCCAGAAGCATGAGGCCAGGCACAGGGGGCTCCTGCTATCTCCCCCTTCTCCATCCTGCTTTTGCCTATTCCTGGGATCCTTCTCCAGCCCCTCACCACCAATGCAAAATCATTAATTACAATGAAACATCATTGAAACGCCAGCTGGGGGAAGGAAGTAGGACCACTCAAGGTGGGTGAGGGACTTGAGGGCGGGGGACAGATAGGCATAGGGCAGTGAGAACAGCAGCCACGTGGACAAAGCAGATCCCAAATGCTGCATCCACACCCAGGGGAGAGAAGTGAGTACCTCAGATGGTGTAACAGGGGTGGGGATTCTTCCCCCCCTCCCCTTTTATAAAAGCATTCTTAAAGTTTTACTAATGCCTTGCTTTTTGTATCATAGCTATAGTTGCCCCCCCCACCTTGTCAGTGTGTCTACCCTTCTAACAAAGAAAAAAAATGAAAACAAAACCAACCAACAAAGTGACTTAGCCAACAATGTATGCAATAGTCAATACCTAAGCATCTCCCACCTCTCCAATAAAAGAAGGGAAGCTTATTCAGAACTCACCTTCAGAGGTCTTCAGCACAGCGGACAACTCAGCCGGGATTTCCAGTCTCCCCAGCTCCTGGGCAAAAAGGGAGGGAGCAATTTACCCAAGTCCTAGGAGAGGGAAGACTGGGGAGGGAGGCAAACCCTATCCCTTTGCTGCCTGGTGTCAACTGAGTCCCCTTCAAAGTGTAGGAGAGGGATTGTTGAGGCTTGGCTTAACAGGAATGCAAAAACTATAGTAACCCCTACAAAGCAGAGCCCTATCCGATGTGCCTGCTTAGAAACTTGCAGAGAGGAAGCAGATGGGATACCGAAAGGATCAAAAGAAGGCAGTATTCTAGGGTTTCATCCACTTGGGCCCTCAGCACAGCCCCTATCCCCAGCTGAGCACATCTCAAGAGGAAGAACCCATTAGATGGGCTTCTCACCATAATGCTGTCTGGAGAAGGTAATGCCTAACTGGATTACCTCCCCACCTCCATTGACTCTTAATACCTACCATTCTTGAAATGACTGCCCTTGTCTCTTCACCTGGTGATTGGTTTTTGTGCCAGCCTGGCCAGGACCTGAGCTGTGGGGAGAAGTTAAGGGTATGTGGGTGGGGTGGGAGCAGTGCTAGAGAATCCACCAAAGGCCTTGTTAGACACTTGAGGATGTTCCAGTGTCCCAGTGCCTGATAGTGCCAGCCTTGGTTCCTTTAAGCCCAGCTAGCTGTTTTCTGTTCCTGACCTCAGGGAGTCCCCGAAGCCAGGAGAGAAACAAATATGACTAAAACCATGGCTAGGGGTGACCCTACTCATCTGGTCACAGTGCCCCTCATCCCAAGAGTCCTTACCTGTCTCCAGCTCTGTATGTGTTGTGTCTCAGCACCAGAGAGGGAAGAAAAATCTATAGAGGACAAAGTCTAGCTAGGGAGGGGCAATGGGAGGAGGTGGGTAACAACCACGGGCCCTGGACTTTGAGATGTTTTATGGCACTTATGGTAGTGTCACCAGGTAAGAGAATAGGAGTGGGAACAGGAAGAGGCAAAGGCTAGATGTGTTGAGTGGGAGGAAGAGAAGGGGGAGCTTTGCATCAATATACCAGTGGGAGCTAGGAAAACCAAGCTTGTGGGGAAATCTCAGCATATGAGCGAGAATTAGCTGTGACCTGGGAGGAGTAATTCCCAAGGAACAGAGCAGAAAGATCTGGGGTTTTGAACATGTCCATCATCTCCCTCCATTCTTTCTAGATCTGGCTTACCTTGTGCCAAGGTACCCTGTTTTGCTTCTGTCTACCACCTCCCCCCGATCTGCCCTCCATTCTGTCAGCCCAACATCCCCTTTACTTAATCTTCTCCCCTCCTACTTAGCTCTTGAGTAAGATAGATTTCTATATTCAATTGATTGTGTATATTATTCCCTCTTTGAGCCAATACTAATGAGAGTAAGTTTCAAGCAATGCCCATTGCCTACCCTCCCATTTTCCCCTCTACTGTAATAGGTTTTTTGCACCTTTTCATGTGAGATGATTTACCCCATTTTACCTCTCCCTTTGTTCTGTACCCAGTGCACTCCTCTTTCTCATCCCTTAGTTATTTTTTTATGTCATTCTCTCAAATTCACCTTATACCCATACCTTCTGTCTGTGTATATTCTTTCTAGCTGTACTACTAGTGGTACAATTGTTAAGAATTACAAGTATTATCTTCCCATGTAGGGATGTAAACAGTTCAGCTCCATTGAATCCCTTATGTTTTCTTTTCCCTTTTTACCTTTTCAGGCTTCTCTTGGGTCTTGATTTTGTTCAATTTTTTTTTTTGTTCAGTTCTGGTCTTCTCCTTATGAAAGCTTGAAATCCTTCTATTTCATTGAATGGCCATTTTTTCCCCTTGAAGTATTGTGCTTAATTTTGCAGGATAGGAGATTCTTGGTTGTAATCCTAGCTCTTTTGCCTTCCAGAACATCATGTTCCATGATCTTCGATCCTTTAATGTTTCAGTTGCTAAATCCTGTGCAATCCTGATTGTGGCTCTCCAGGATTTGAATTGTTCCTTTCTGGCACTTGCAGTATTTTTTGCTTGACCTGATAGTTCTATAATTTGGCTATAAAGTTCCTTGGAGTTTTTATTTTGGGATCTCTTTCCTGAGGTGATTGGTGGATTCTTTTAATGACTATTCTGCCCTTTGATTCCAAAATATCAGGGCAGTTTTCCTTGATAAATTTCTTTCTTCTTAAAATTTAACTAAAAAAAAATTTTTTTGGTTGAGGCAATCAGGGTTAAATGACTTGCCCAAGGTCACACAGCTAGTGAGTATCATGTGTCTGAGGCCAGATTTGAACTCAGGTCGTCTTAACTCCAGAGCCAGTGCTCTATTCACTGTGCCACCTAGCTGCCCCTGATAATTTCTTGAAAGATGTTGTCTAGGTCTTCCTTTTGATTATGACTTTCAGGTAGTCCAATGATTTTGCTATTGTCTCTCCTGGACTTATTTTCTAGGTTAGTTGTTTTTCCAATGAAGTATTTTAAATTTTCTTCTATTTTTTCATTCTTTTGAATTTGTTTGATTGATCCTTGATGTCTCAAATAGTCATTAGCCTCCATTAGCCCAATTCTGAATTAAGGGGTTGTTTTTCTCAGTTAGCTTTCATACTTCATTTTCCATTTGGCCAATTGTACTTTTTAAGGTGTTGTTTTCTTTGGTGGATTTTTGTATCTCCTTTTCCATTTGGCCGATTCTACTTTTCAAGCTGTTGACTCTTTTTTCATAATTCTCTTGCATCACTCTCATTTCTTTTCCCAATTTTTCTTCTACTTTTCTTATATGATTTTGAAGCTCCTTTTTGAACTCTTCCATGAGTTCTTTCTGGGCTTGAGACCACTTCCCATTTTTCTTTGAGGTTTTGCTTATAGGTGTTTTGACATTGCTGTCCTCTTCTGAGTTTGTGTGTTCATGTTCCCTGTCACCATAATAACTTTCTATGATCAAATTATTTTGTTGTTGTTGTTACTGTTTTTTGCTCATCTTTTTTTTTTTTTTTTGCTTTTTGCTTTTCTTTTAAATTTGAGTTCTTCCCCCCAGCATGGAAGGGACACTGTCCCAGGCTTCTTGTGCCAAGGGCTGCAGGCCCTGGCTGTTTACCTGGTGTCACACTGATGTTGCCCTGATGCCTATGGGGGGTGCTCAGTGTCCAGTGCTGTGCTGAGGGGATGGGATGGGGAGTGGCTGGCACTGCTGGAGGCCATAGATTGTCTGACAGCTTACCTGGTGTTGAGCTGGGGTCCTAGTGCTTGTGTCTGGTGTGTGCTGAGGCTGGTGGGATGTTTCTCTGGGGCTACAATGAAGCAGATGGCTGTCTGGCCACTGGAGATTGCCTGTTTGCCAGGGGCTGAAACACATGGAGGTTCTTGGAGCTGTAGGCTTCCCATTCCCCTGGTTATTTTGAGACATGTAAGGGTCCTGGTGTTGGGGTTTTCCTGCTTCACTGCACTGGGACTCAGGCTCAGGGCTGATTTGCTGAGGGGAGGCTTGCTACTGAGTTACTGGGACACTTCCTGTCCTGGACTGCATTCCCCTTTTGTCTTAGAGAGGCAGATCTTTCTTGGAGATCTTCCAAGTTTCTTAGGCTAAAAATAGATTGCCTTCTTCCTGGTTCTGTTGTTCCAGGATTTGTTTCAGGTGCTATTTTATGATTGTTTGGAGGTGAATATGGGAGAATTATGGTGATTTACTGCTTACTCCACCATCTTGGCTCTGTAGAACTCCAAGGTACCCTGTTTTGGGAAAGATGTGAGGAGGGGGCAGATAGGATAAACTAGACAAGAAATCAGTCTCTCAATGGCTCACACATTCTGGGTCCTGGGAAGGGGTCATGGGTACTGACAAAAAAGTCTTTACCAACATGAATAACTAAGATCTCTTGACCCCTGATATGGATCTCCCTTATTGTAGAATCGTAGATTCAGAGCTAATTCAGATTCAGACATACAGAAGGATACAGATTCAGTAGATTCAGAGACCTCAGAGGCCATCTGTTATCTATATCAATACCACAAATTCCATGAAGCCATTGTTGAATCAGGAAGAAGCTTTAATAACAACCTGGGAAGGCCAGGATACCACATGTGTGAGAGCACACATGTGAGAGTACATGTATTGACAAATGCACCCCTTTCTATTTCCTATTCCCCATTCAAATTTCTTTCCCCTGTTTCCCCATTTGCTGGGTACTATAGAAGTTATAGCCTATCGGAAGCACCTAATTTCCCCACGTGAGTCTCCAACCCTAATTACTCCCACTCCCCACATTTTGATGACCCCCGGCCCTTACTTGGGAACACCTCTTTAGATATTAATCTATACCCAACCTCAGAACTGATTTCCTGCCTGTTAGTCTATTCACCACCAAGAGTGTTTTCTTATTCTAATATAACTCCCTTTGTTCAACTTCCACCTAGCTCCACTAGACTTTTTGTGGAAAAACTATCTCTGGCTCTAACCATATGCAGAAATAACATCCATATATTCCACACCATCTAGGCCAGAGCCCTTATTATAGAGATGAAGAAACTGAGGACCAATGAGGTTGAGTGACCTAAGCACTTACTTCAAACTCTCACCACAAGCCCGTCTCAAATCCTATTACGTGATAACTCTGCTGCTATCATAACAGAGGTATGGCACCTGGCAACATTGTGCCCAGCTGCCTCAGAGAAGCTTTTCACCAGAGATAATGCTTCCTAGAGAAGAGGAGAGAGTCAAGTTATCTTCTCTTTACAATCATTGTGCCCTATTCCTCACCTCTAGAGAACAGAGCACCAGCCCTGGAGTTAGGAGAATCTGAATTAAATTCTGGTCTCAGACACTTACTAGCTGTGTGACCCTGGGCAAATCACTTAACACCAATTGCCTCCAAAAAAAATGAACTTCAAAAATAAATAAGTAATGAATTAATTAAAAAAATATAACTTGTGATTGTGAACTGATTCAACCATTCTATAGAACAATTTGGAACTATGCCCAAAGGGCTATAAAACCATGCATACCCTTTGATCTTCCAAAAGAGATTAAAAAAAAAAAGGGACCTATGCGTACACAAATATTTACAGCAGCTCTTTTTTGGTTGCAAAGAATTGGAAATTAAAAGGATGCCTAACAATTGGGGAATGGGTGAACAAATTGTGCTATGTGATTATGCTGGTATACTATTGTGCTATTAGAAATGATGGGGGCAGCTAGGTGGTGCAGTGAATAGAGCTCTGGCCTTGGAGTCAGGAAAGACCTAAGTTCAAATCCAGCCTCAGACACTTACTATCTGTGTGATGCTGGGCAAGTCACTTAACCCCCAATCACCTCAGTAAAAAAGAAAAAGAAAAAGAAATGATGAGCTGGATGCTGCTCTTAGAAAAACCTGGGGGCAGCTAAGTGGCACGGTGGATAGAGCATCAGCTTTGGAGTCAGGAGGACCTGAGTTCAAATCCAGCCTCAGACCAAACACTTGACACTTACTAGCTGTGAGACCCTGGGCAAGTCACTTAACCCCAATTACCTAAGCAAACAAACAAACAAATCAACCCCTAGAAAGGAGTAG